CAGTAGCCACAGAAGTTGAAATCCAAGCTAGAAATATGAGCGAATGGATGTGAAATGCATTGTTTAAAAGTGGCTCGGCAAATTTCATAACAGTTCAACAAAGCACTGGTTTGTGTAATAATGAAAAATCAATGTGGGCAAAGTTACTTGAACATTCGCAGCTGTGTGTAAACGCGAGATGGGAAAAGTACTTGAGAAACAAATGTTCTTTTCACAGACTCGTTTAGCGTACATTTGCAGATATAGTTGACGGACGTAAGGAGACCAAGAGACATCTCTAAACTCTATTTGTCTTTCATAAAGTATTGGCCATCTGGAAACAGTATCAGCTTTGAGTCCATGTTTCATTTCACTGTAATCAGCAACAGATTCGCAGCTGCAATAACAAACTAGATTTATGAAATTCCGACTTTCTAATATTGTGCCTGTATGTCCTATAAAACATATAGTCATTCAAGTCTGTTGGACACCTCTTATAATACCGTGACATCACAGCGTCCACATCACATTTGTCAATTTATAACACCAGCTCTAACACTGTCCCCAAATTCACAAATAACTTTTCTGAGCCTCGGAGTAAAGTCGTAAAAATTTACGAAACATTTCGACACATCCCTCATAAATGTAAGAAACACATATTCAGCAGCATGAGGAAGTTTTTCTTTTTCTTTTTCATGACCTGAAGTGATGAGGAATGCAGTGGCTCAGCAGTCCTGCAGACATCTGACACCACTGTTGAGTACAGCAGGAGAAAACACCATTCATTTCAGACTCCTGTTTTTGTTACCGTAGTTCAGGAATCGAGGAATGAAACTGAGACAAACTTTGCAATGTCACCTTTACGTTCATTTACCCCGGTTCACACTGGCACTGGGGGTGAGGGCGGGTATTAAATGCAGCACAAGAGGACTTTCAAGAACTAATGTTGACCTAAGAAATGACTCTCCCTCCCTCCGACCCTCTGAAAGGGTCCCCTCATGGACGTGAATGAATGTAGCCCTAGCCTGCAGCCTCTCTGGGCTCCAGTGATTCGGAGACACAGTGGTCCTTGAGCGTCTGAAAGCTCACACCTGAATCGCTGCTTTGACTAGACTGTCAATTCTTACAGCAGCAGTGAGGGACCTTTTTGGACTTATTTCAGCCTCGGTTTCTGCTGGAACTTGTTTATCAGTCAATGGCAGATAATACATCCATCCAGGAATCTTGGTGAACTGAAACAAGATGACGTGAATCTAACCCTGTTGGACTTGTTTCATCATGTGGTCATTACTTCATAGAGGCTGAAGTAGATGTGGAGGATGAGGTCTAATATGAGTAGATAATGTGTTGTCCATCTGTTAAGACATTCAACACTTGGCAGGGTTTCTGTTTCATTCCAGTGGCAGCTCATTGACAGGAAGTATAGGGCTTTTCCTCTTTTACGAAAGGAAACATGTCCTTAAAAAATATCGAGAAAAGAATCAGAACCCGACTCTGAAAAGTGGCCTTGTGTTTAATCCTTCTGCAAATTAGAGTTGGAGCAGCAAATAGTGGAAGCATTTGTGATACTGTACTACAGTGTTTCACACATAGTCCGCTATTGTACAGATAACATGCCTACTGCTGCCTGTTAGGAGTTTCAACATTAGTAAATGAAACAGTTTATAATGAACTATTTTCAGGCTGAATCCTACCCTCTGAGCAGTGAGCTCCTGCTGAGCCCTGAGGTTATCTCACCCTAGCCTGAAGATGCTGAGCAGAGACCGAATTGTATCAGGGCTATTTTTCCAGCCGAAGGTAAAGCAGACATTCTGACATCCATCGTGCCATGCGGCATTACCAGCCGGATGCCAGATCTACTTCTGATCTGCTTTGTAACATAGATTTGTCAGGTTTGTCATCAAAACATTGAATTTTTAATTTAAAAAGAACACTAGTGTGTGTGTGTTTGTATTAGTTGTACATGGGTTCATAGCTGGAGCAAGGGGTTCTTGGGGGAACTTATGGGTTTTACATGGCCTTTCCAAAACAGAAAGGTATTCCTGGTGTGTTCATGGCACACTGTGAGTCATATAAACTGATCTGTTCTTGGAAAGAGGACAAGGTAAATTCTGAATGGTCTGTGGAGGGAGATTTTCTGCACAGGACTGGGCACATTCTGCCTAATGTTGCTCTTGAGGTTTAGCAATAGCAGCTGCAGGAAGATTGCTTTTTTGGGAGGGGGTCTTTCTTTTATGTTTAAATACATTCAAAAAGTAAAAATGTGAATCACCACGTCTCGAAACATTTGAAATGCCCGACATGCAAGCCTGATATGTTAGCTTCGGCTAACATCTCTTCAGTATACTGTAGTGTAAACCAAGGAGGCATCCTGGAGGATCCATTAAGCCGTTGTAATGAACCAGCCTCTCTGAACCTCTCTGAACCACTAACTTTGGCAGGAAATGGCTTTTTCCATTTTCTGCCTCCCTCTCTCTCCCTTTCTCTCTCTTACTCTTTCTCTCTCCCTCTCTCTTCTATACTCTCTCCACCTGAGCCAGCATCGCAACTGGCAGAGTCTTAACGCAGACAAATAAAATAAGTCAACGGCATTGGAACAGAATTACATATTTGAAACTAAGTGTAAAGCAATACTGAAATGTAGCATACAGTTCATATCTGTGTCTACTTGATGTCCAGTGGTTAAAAGTCTGCCATAAAATTCAGTAACTAGGGATGCTAGTTCATACCTGCTAATACCCTGTTACTGTCGGTTTTTACTTTTGGGACTTTGTTTTTTTTTTTTAACTGTGCCCACCTTAGCTCTTCTAGCCAGTTACAGTTACTCTGTTGAAACTAACAGACAGTAAAGGAACCAAACTGAAGGTGTCTTCAGTCTGGCACTATGGAAAATGCAGTCTTGGAAAAAAATAGAGTGGACTGGAAATGTAGGACAAGCTGAGATGACTTATGGCTGTGACCTAGTTTTACCGCTTCGTCCAGCATAGAAGATCTTTGTGTTATCTGATCTAGAGTGAGCAAAATACATAACAGTTTTGGGACCAGGTCAACAGGTCATTTTATACAGTCTGGACCTATTGAACAGCTTATCCAATTAATCAGTTTAATGCTGTTGGGTAAACAATGTTTACAGACAACGCAGTCATAGGGTTAAAGGAATTTTGAGTGTGTACATTTTGTCAGAGTTCTAAGCTTTACAACCAGCACATGTGAAGTAAATGGCTTTCCCTCCACACATTTACTACTTAGCTCCATTATGCAGAGATCAATCTGTCAGACACTATTAAACTGTTGGTACTGATCCTACAAGGGAGTGGATGTGAAATGTGTGCTCGTCTAACAGGCACCTGGTCTTGCTAGTCTTGGCACAGAGATGTGGAGTGATATCAAGCAGCCAACTGGGGCAGCTTTACTGTAACTGACTTCCACTGCGGGAGGTGTCAAAACGTTTGTTAAATGCTACGTGTGCTGGAAAAAGTTGCCAAAAAAAAAAGACGTAAAGCTGCTGCTATTTACTTCAGATCTCTATGAAAGTGTTCATTGGAGCGTAATAAAACTGTCAAATCTTCTAAGGGTCTGTTTTTTAAGCAGCCTAGAGTCCACTGTTTTTTACTTTCATGACAGAGCCATGACAACTCCGAACCAAACCAAAGATGAATGGAGGGGCTGGACCCAGAATGACAACAAAGCACTGCTTACATCAGAAAAAAGGAAAAAAAATTAAACTAGCCTAAAAAACAGCACCGAAGCCTGGAAATCATAAATCCTAGTCTGAATGGATCATTTACAAAACAAGTTAACAAGTCGGTGCAATGATCGGCTGAATAAAAATGAGAGCTTTCTTTAAAAATAAAACACAGGAACATGCAGATGAAGTTAATGTAGGAAAGATCTGTTGTAGGACCCCCCCCAAAAAAGTCAAAAAAACAATGTAGGAAAGATCTGTTGTAGGACCCCAAAAAAAAAAGTCAAAAAAACTTCAAGGTGTTGCAATATCCGTTTCAGTGTGGCTCCCCATTGGGTTTAAATCCTACCAGAGCAGAAAGTGAAAACAAATACACGAACCCAAAGGCATGGCATGAGGCACTTCAAAGCGGTCCAACTCCACACACACACACTCTTCCTTAAAGCCAGTGTGGTGCGGTGTGTCACTCACATCCATCGTGAAACCAGTTCAATTGCTTTCCTGGTCTCAGTTTCCACCTCCAGCTCTTATTCCTGGTCCTCCCTCTGAAGAACACATGAGTCCCATTACTGTTTTACTTTCCCAGCAAACCATTAAAGCCCAATGTCAGAGCCCATAACCAGGCCTGCACCTCTCCAGTCACTCCTGTGCCTCGTATGATGAATTCCTACTGAAATAAAAGTCACTCAGGCGGTTGCTTGGACTTCACCTTCTGCGACCACAAAAAGCCTTAGACTTAAAATGTAGCTTCTACATCAGCAGATTCTGGTATCCCGCTGTCATACAGTTTATACAATATTGAAATTGCATTTAAATGTTGGACACAAATGTTCAGCATGTACTTGATAGACACTTGCTTCCACCAGCAGTTGGTGTATGTAGAACATCATTGGTAGGTGAATGATGTCAGCGTGCTATCAACCTATTTAACAATCCGTACTTTTAAAGGGATTGGCATGTGCTGTGAAGCCCATTCTGAGTCCCCGTTGTGGAGAACAAACAGCTGACTAAGGACTCCGCAGCTGGCATTTATAAACCTGGCATGTCTTGCCGGCTTTCCGTTAAAATGAGGTGGAATAATTAATATGAGTCTGGAAGACATTCCTCCTGCTAGAGGCAAAATTCTGGCCCCAAGCCTAAACCAACAGTGGGAAAAAACAGGGCTGACTGCAGGCCAAAGTGAGCCTCCAGATGGGGATAAGTAACAGTTAGCAAGCTCTGGACAAAAGGAGGTAAGAGGGTGGGAGGGCTGGGAGCGAGGGGTGGGGGGTTGTTTACCTTTGTGGCATACAAACAACATGTAGCTCTTTGTTGTGTGTTTCCTTGAGGTACTCACCGCTCTCGCTTTTCTCAATGACATCGACCACCTCCCCTGCTTGAAGGCTGATTTCTGCGGGTTCCTGTTTCTCATAGTTCGCCACCACCACGTACTGTTCCAAAAGCATAGGGTCCGAGGCATCGAGACCTGGGGTAGATGGGAAAAAACATGCTGTCAGCCAGCTGCCAGCCATAGGTCCACGAGAGTGACTCCCGCTCACTCGCTGTGCCATGGGCCACTTTGTCTGTAGAGCTCAGCCAATCACAATATTCACAGGGTTCAGTGCATCTTCCTGAGAGTCTAGCCATAGAGTTGCAACCCCCTCCAGCCCAACATCCAGGCCAATGAAGATGGAGAAAATGTAGAATCCCCTTCCAAAGTCAGAACAACCAAGCAGTCAACTATAGAAAATCCATTCTGTGACACAGCGGAGGCCTCGTCCCAGACCGTTCAGGAGAGGAAAAGAGGACACATACAACCGGATTGAGGAGAGGCAGCACAGAGAAAGCAGAGGGGAGCTGCAGCAGTGACAGAAATCTGAGCTAAAGGCAGCTGAGGACAGGACATTAGAGTGAGAGAAAGAAATGGTTTCCCTTGGAAAATAAACCATCTGCTAAAAAGCCTCCTTCTCCTGAGTTGGGGTTGGAGCTGGAGGAAGAGTAGGGGGTTGTGTACACCAATCATGAGAGTCAGAACTCGAGGCCTTAAATAGAACCAGATGAAGGGGCTGGAGCTGTGCTGAGAGGGAAGGCCTTGTGTCTCCATGAAACACTAGAGCTCAGACTGCAGCGTGTGGCCCAGCCAATGGAAATTTTCCCTACTCTACTATGCTCAGTTAACCATATAAGCACCGGCAGTGACTTACTTATTTACAGTGTGTCTCCTATCATTTAGCCATCACATCCATGGCAAACCGGATTCATTTAACGGTCTAGAATTAACTATAAATGTAAAGGAGCCGTCAAACATTTGTTTTTTCCATCTGAGTCCAACCCGGCCGTAGACCTTTTCCGTGGAAAATCCAGAGCACGAGCATAACTGAGTCAAGTAATGCAGATCTAACAAACATATGGAGTCCAGGCACCACCCGAGATGACATCAAGTTTACACATTAGTAGGGGCTTCTAATGACCACTGATTTTAAAGCTACTAAAAAGTCAAATCTGCTCTTTATCCATACACTTTTCTCAAAGGAGAAAAGAAAAACTGAATCAGAAATACAGTAAATAATCCATAGAGAACCAAAATATATTACACTGTCTACATCTCATTTGTTTTTGTCCGTTGCTGCTTCTAAAGCTTTCACGTAAACTTAGCCATCGTTGTAAATAGCCTAAAATATGAAACTGAGAAAAAATCCATCTTTTAAAATGAATCCATTGTGAAACATTTCTTTGAGAAACTTGCCCTGACAACAGTAGATAAGAGCAATTCAGTCTGACAGCCGCAGGGTTTGCTGCTAAAGATATGTCAAACTGAAGAAAACTTTGATTAAAGGAACCTTACTTATACTTTAAATCAGCAGGTTTGCCAGACATTTATTTAATGTAAAAATATTTAGTTATACCATAACAATAAATAAAATAGTGTATATACTATTATATATATATATTATGTAGTATTCTCCTTTGCGTAGACGGCGATATTTCATCTGAAACTATTCTATGCAATGTGCGGTTATGTTGCCAGTTTTAACTTCACACCTCTGTTAACTTTCATTACTAACAAATCTGAATCATCAAAGGCTTGTGATAGGCAAGTTGTTAAATATTTAAAACAATCTTAAACAAACCAATGTTTCTTTAAGCTCTAATTGTGCTTTATTTACAATATTCGTAACTAAGGGTCCAACTGGTTTTGATTTCACGAATATGACTGACAGCTGGACCATCAAATGGCGCTACAGTCATAGAAGTGACTAATGTGTTGGGCCTGAAGTACCAGTTACCATTCATTACCTTGGTCTTTAATTTTCCAGATTTATAGTTATGGGTAAACAATACATTTAGTAAATGTGCTTTGAATTGTATATATTATTATTTATTGTATTCTTTCTTATTATGTAGTATAGTAAAACTACAAAAGAAACCGCAACAAACTGAAACACACTGCAGATGTATTTCTGCTTGTTTGACGCTGCCTTTATAGACACTGACCAGTCAGAAGTAAATTTCATATTGTAATATAGTCATTAACACACACAGATTTATCTATCCATCCATCCATTTAACCATCCATCCAGAAACCACAGTCTTGCTGGCAAAATGAATTCACCACATATGGAACATAGAACCAAAGCAGGTCTCAGTCCCATTAAGTCATTATAGTCTGTGTCAAATTGCTTTAAAATTGACCTAGTCATGTGAGCAGCAGAGTTGAGTGAGTACAGGAAGTCCTCGGTTTAAGTTGGTGTTCCGTTCCTACTTGTAACGTAACTCCATTTTCGCTGTAGGTCGGATTTCATCTACTGTACATTAATACCTACTGTATGTCACTCACCTACGCTAACACAGTGGTGACATCATAATCTTGGATATACAAACATGGAAGGCGTCTGACTTCCTTTTTTTTTGCACTATTTGTGTTGCTTCCAGTCTCTGAGTGTATTAATTCATCAGCGTTATTGGATTGGAATTGGCTCTCTGTCAACATGCTACACCGAGGTATGCGTGTTTGTATCTGGACTGAACAAAGTTGGAATCGGTGCATCCCTAGTTCATGGCCCTGAAAAACAAACACTAATATTTCATTCTCCATTCAGGAAATGAAATGTTTTGCAACAGCAGGAAGACGGAGCCAAAGCAAAGTGTGAGAAAAATTAAGTGAAACTGTGTTGAATCTGAGGAAGCTTAATTTCAAATGTACTATGTCGTAGACAAAAGAGTGGAGCAGATATTTTGTATAGTTTGTATTAGTGCCTCATCCGGTCATATACATTGGACGTCTCCGTCCGCCCTGCGGTGTACGTGATAAACCAAACTTCAGTCTTTCTTTTCAAAATCCCTCTTAAATCTCAAGGTCTAAGTTATTTCCAATTCCTTTATTTCTTATATTTTTTCCAGATTGCCCTCAGATAACTCTTTTAGCAACTCTCTGCATCGCTTATATCTCCTTCTGCTCAGATTTCTTCATGTGCTTCCTGCCCCCACCCTTCGTCTCCCAGGCGTCCTAACTTGATCCAGCCCAACCACACCCCCACTCAGCCATTATCAGCTGCATCCAAAGTTGATGATGGCTGATAACTTTGCAGTAATTTATCACCAATACGGAGGAAACAAGTTTAACCAGTGTACACTGACTAATCCCTCTTAATGAGACATTTTACAGCATCTGCCTTTTTAGGTCAATAGCTTCATTGGCAATGGCTGCTGCGTTTTAATGCCATATCCTGAACCCTTGGGTAGCTGAATGAGAGCAGAGGGGGTTGGAGGGGAGTACAATTTGGCAAAGTGCAAAGCTTTTGTTTGACTCATCAGCAGCAGATGTAAAGTTGGAAGGGAGAAGGACACAGAACTGCTGTTCAATGTAGTACAGATGTATTTGTGTCATTGAATCAGTATGTGGCCTTGTGGGAGACGGGGCAGACCACAAACAAATAGTCCAGAAAGCTTCACTTCACGGATTACGTACAGCTAATAGAACAGATGTATGTTATCCCGCTTTGATCTGATAATTCTTTAAAGATATCAGGTAGAGACAGAAGCAAGAGAGGAAGTCGCATTTCCACTGCTGCCTTACGTCAACTGTAAATTGTCTAAGAGGTGGTGTCAGTGAGTTCATCCTTCCTGGTCCGCTGCTGCTGTTAGTGGTTTCTTTCATCCCATCAACGAATGTGTAATGTGTTAGCGAAGCATTTATTTGAAGTTAATGCATCTTTGGGCTGTTTTCAGCTAGGTCATGTTTTGGCTAGTTTGTAGCTAACACTCTTTGGTGACTTCAGCTTCAGCAACCTTTGTTTTGTCGTCTTGTTAAAGGACCACATTGAGCGATAGGTCATTATCAAGTGAGATTTTGTACTGACTTGTAAGTCAGTACTTTTTCTTATTTTTCACAGCTGTTTTTTTAGTTGTCATCAAGACATTACATATTTAAACCTTTTTATACTCTCTGCCAGTGCATGATATTGTTTGATAGTGTATTCCTAGTTTATTATATATATATATATATTATTCAATTCCTGTTCATCCAGAAATAAGATGTTGTAACAGTGAACTGCTTCAGGGCAATATGTATGCAAAATACTCAATGATATATGATAATAATTTCTAACCGTTGTCTAAATTATTACAAAGATCTGATCTGAACTTTAGGCTCCTACCTTTACTGTCCAGTATGTCAACACAACAAAAAAATGCACAACACAACTAGGCCTCCGGTGATCTTAAAATACAGGACAGTGAGTGTGCACATGCAGTACAGTATGAACACACGCTCCCTCAGTCTGAGTGCAACAGTGAAATAGATTCCACTTGCCACGTAAACCTTCTCTCCAGCTGTTTTTCACATGCACTACACCCCCAAATCCTCCGTTTCTTCCCTTTCCCTAAAGTGCTCGTCTCACATTCCTTTCAAATGCAGATTATAATTCATGTTTAAAAGATTAATTAAAATTTCCTTGAATCCCCAAATCCCGGCAGCAGCTGATTCCAAGCTGGTTTGGCTAAAATTATGATCCATTCATCACTACAGAACTTTGTTGTCAGTGGTCTTGTAACCAATATCTGAGTGTTAGTTACAACAGTCTCAATCTGTTAAAGGACAGAGACGAATGTCGACGGTCAATATTGTCAATATAAGACCATTTTGTCAGCGATTTAAGTTTTGTTACCTATGTCCACTCTATTCTACTGTCCAGGGTGTTCCCCGCCCTCGGGTCGGCATGACCCTTCAAAGGGAAAAGTGGTAGATAATGGATAGATGGATTGGTTGTCACTGCAAAATTCCCTGTCCAACTCAGTCCATGTGAGATTGTTGCTCAATTAAAAGTCAAGATAATGTGTAACTGTGACACCTATTACACTGAGGTACATGGAATACAACTGCAAGGCTTTTATTTTGAAGGCACCTATTTTGTTTTGTTTTTTTCTGAATAAACATCTGTCCAGTCAGTGCTCCATCATTTGGATTAGTCACAAATCAATGAATCAATCAATTATGATAGAATTCTTACACATTGTAGCTTATCAAAACACTCATTTAACTGCCGGCTCACACAGCTGCACACGACAACTCAAAGTAAGGAAGTAAGGAGTTAAAACGTGAATGTGAAAATCCCACATGAACCAACAAGCGGTGGTTACTGGTGAGTAACTCTAACTTGTTGCTCGCATTTCTTCTGCTTGCCAGGTAGGAGATTCTTCTTGAACCTCTAATCACATGCAGCTTTGTGGTGAAGGACTGCATTCTGCTGTTTAGTGAAGGGGCTCTGTAAACTCTTAAGGGAGACCTGCACTGTGTAATTATTGAAACCATAATCTGCAGCTACAGCACAAATTTACCACACACTCTCTGCACTTTATCTGCCGTCTAGCTGCAAAAGAGAGAGATCAATCTTTTTTTTTTTTTTTTTTTTTTTTACTGTCAACCACTAATGTCCAGCACTGGAAGCATGGTGAAGAATTGGAAACGGAGAATGGAGGTCTTACTTGTGCAGTACGTGCTCTGCCCTGACCGTGGACACTAAATTACTCTGGGTGCCGGTCATTTATTGCATTATCATTATTTGTCCTTAATTCCACTGAATCATTCACAGCGAGTACACTGTAAATATCTCCAGAACAAAGACAACACTGTTAATATTTAAATATCAAACAACCACATTTTATAATAGGAATTGATATAAGTAGCAGTTGGAGGCCTTTTTCTGACCATTGCAATTTCCCAGACACCATGCACTTGTTGACCTGCAGACAAGTAATGTGAGGCGAGTTTATGAGACCATCACAAATTGGTCCTTTTAACTTGAGCCAAACAAATCTAATCAGTTAATCAGTAGTTGGCAAGCTGGCAAACTTAAGTGTTTTCTCATGGTTTTCTTTTTTTTGTGATTTTTTTTTTATTCATACCTAAAATGTGAATGTTTTTTTAGTCTTAATCCCAAAAACTTTGATGTCTGAGCACTACATTCTAATGAGCTAATAGGGTTGTAAAGTCACAGAGGTTTTAAAGTCCATCTGAAAATTTGTTCCAACTTCTGAATTCCCTCAAGGCAGTCTTCAGATATCATGTTCACAGGTTTTAGACAAACACAGTGAGGGACAGCCCAAAAACATAACGACTCCAGCCAACTGCTGGTGAAGTCATAGAAAACAGCTGAAGCTGTAAAATGATTGAAAGATTCAAGAATATGACAAACTCTCTAGATGAACATATGGCCTGCAGGCCAAAACCGGCCCACTAGGGTCTTCAAATCGGCCCGCTTAATGAATTTTGAAACTAAGAAAAATACTCAAACACATTAAATATGAACACCTAACAATAAATATCTAATGTACTTGTACTTCTTTGCATGAAGACAGGTGGGAAAACATGGAATTATTGTTATTTATAGTTAATTGTGTTATTATTGTCTCTTTAATACTTATAATTTTAATTTAGTTCATTAATAGTATATTTGGTTTAAGTTATTTTTAATGGGGAAAATGCAATATTCCAGATACGATTGGCTCAATATATGAGTGCTGTTGTAGAACGGATTAAACTCGTATCTCAAAGCCCCACCGTACTAACAAGAAGGTAGTAGTCAGCAAATGTGAATACAACCGAAACCAATGCAACATGGTCCACAGACTATAGGTGTAGGTTTCTCTCACTCAAACACACTCACACAGACAAATAGTCTGAAATAAGACAGTTGTTCCATTTCACAATGTAGCTGGAATTCCCTCATACACGGAGCCTCAACACCATGGAACACATAATTAGGTTGGGCTCTTGTTTCAGTTTGAGCACAGTGTGCTATCGCTGTCCTCAGACAATTCACCGTCTAAGACCTTTGTCATCAGGCTACAGTATGTCTCGCTGTAACCACACCAGAATGACCGTCACAGCATGTCGGCATCTGACTGTAAGAACAACGTGCAATTTGGTCGAGGGTATTCTCAGGCTGCACACACACCTCACACACACACACAAAATAGCAGTTGACAGTTTAAATCTAAAACATTTTAAGCCATTCACATAATCAGTCACAAACATTTTGATAAAAGTTCATTTTTCTGATTAGACATGCTTTTGTATTTTTATATACTTCAAAGTTCCTTCTGCAGTTGGATCTATTTTTGAACCATTTCTGGCCAAAGAAACAAATGGTAATTTTTCTTTTTAATTTTGGCAAATGCTTACTGGCATAAGACAAACAACAGGGTGCTCTATAATTAAAATAAGTGTGTGTTGCAATTCTGGATGCTGAATTTGATTAAAGTAAATAAATCCGATAAAGCAGATAAAAAGCTTTACTAAAACTAACAATGTGTACACTTCAAACTTCAAAGATTAATGTAAAATCTGACAGGACATATTTACATACATAAACATCTGAGGTTTTGTTCCCACAAAGAGAATTAACAGTTTAGTGTTGCCCAGTCTCTGAAACTAAACTAACAAAGCATGTGCAAAACACACTAGACTATAAAAACCCCAGAAAACTTTCATCTGTTAATAATGCCTTTGTTCAACTCCTTGGCCTCGCCCTACAAGTGGAATGGTTGAGCAGTTGGACGAAATCATAGGCACAGTGAGGTTGCACAAATGCACGATCCACTGGCGATTTACTTATCATTCACAGTTGATACACGCGTTGTTATTGGCAGACAATGTAGGAGCCTAAAATATCGTCGAGTAGCCCAGCACCTGTTATAGACCATTTGTATTAGTCAGATAAAAACTGGTGTGAAACACATACATCTACTGTACATGCTGTGATTTGTCTTTGTGTTCCAGCAATATACAGAAAACCAGAATGTTGATTTATCATGATTAATTGTGATCATGATTGATTCGCAAATAATCGTGATTAGTTACAATTAATTGTGATTAATCCACTCCTGCCCTATGATTACCCTATTTTCCGGAATATAAGTCACACTGAGGTTTAAGTCGCACCAGCCATAAAATGCATAATGAAGAAAAAAATAAAACATATATAAGTCGCTCCGTAGTATAAGTCGCACCAGTGCCCTCTAGTGGCTGTCTGTGTAAAATTACAAACGTACATTTTCAGTAGTGCAGGAGTAGCAGATACTGGTCTAGAGTGCCCTCTAGCGGCTTTCAATGTGAATATAACTATATATTTTAATATAAGAGTAAGACCTGAGTATAAGTCACAAACCTAGCCAAAGGATGACAAAAAAAGGTGCGACTTATACCGGAAAATACGGTAGTCAGATTTGAACATTTTTGGCTCGACAGCCTTACTCAAAATGTTACACTACATTGTAAGTAGTCTTTAAAATGTCAATGCAAATTAACATCTAGAATCACAGACACAGATTCTAAAGGCTATGACTCAAAACTGAATCTTACCTGATTTGCGTTTTCCCGAACTCCCACAGTCTCTGAAAAGTAGGCAACACCAGAGAAACATGGTCAGTGTGGGTGCGAGTGCACAAGAGGTCAGAATAAGTCAAACATGTTGTGTGAGTGTGAGTGTGTGTGTGTGTGTGTGTGTGGTGAGTGGACACAGCTGAGTCTCTTCCTGGGACTGTCCAGACTGAGTTGGCACACCAGTACCAACCAAACCCTCTCTAAGAATGCACAGAGAACTTGACCCACAAGCACAGGGAGGAAGTCAGGATGGGGTGCATGCTGGGACTGCAGCCAAACACAGTGTGTCAAGGACAATCACAGCCCATAATGAGACGTTCAGATATTGGGCTGCAGTAGACGTTGTGTGTGTGTGTAATATTGATGCAGCTGTCTGTGTTTGCTTGACAACCGTATCACAGCCTCTGGGTGAGTCCCTCTCATGTTTAAATGTTTAAGTAGCTTTCCCTTCCAATGTGTGGATTGTGACAAAATTATAATGAGTGCCAGTTATCAGGTTATCAGTCAAAATTAGTTTACACAAATTTGGATTTCCCATTCAAGATGTTACGTCTTTTTCCTTTAAAACCACATTTGTAATACATGCAAAAATATAAAGTAAATGTGGCATTTAAAAAAAAAAAAGACAATTATATGTCAGGCATGCAAAAAATATATAATTACAGTTGCAGTTTTACATCCATAACATTTTTTTGAAAACTGAGTGCATTTAGACACAAATATTTACATAAATATTTACATAAAATTAAACAAAAATGAACGGGGAAAAAAAGACGGCTTTGTTTACATTTTTCGGTTGTCGCCATACATTGGATTGTGCTACTTTGTTTTGTTTTGTGGGACCTTTTTGCCCTTCATCATGGCTCCCAGGCATGCCCCGAGTCAGGTTTCTATGTCCTGGATTATGATGTTATCACTGTCTTAGCGTAGGTGAGTGACATGGTTTCATACAGTATATTCAAGTGAATGTGTTTTTGGTGGTTCATGTGAGGTTCACGCTAAGGCTCACAGATTACAAGGAGCCCTGGCTGATTGCTTTCTTTTGGTTTGTTAATCAGAGTAAGCCAGAGGTTAGAAAATGATAAAGTTGGTTGAACTGTATACTGAAACAATGACAGGCTCGGCAGACAGATACAGCTTCTGCTTCTTTTGAGGCTCTTTGTTAAATTTTCTCCATTGCAAAACCCAGGCGGCCACTGTTCCACTGATGACTGGTCCACATACTGTATATACAGTATAGGAAATAGACATACAGTAGCCACCTGGTCCACAGACACGTAGCAGAACAAAGGCAGCCGTACAGCACCACAGTGTGATTAAAGGAAAAAAAGATTTCACATTAATAAACCCTGTGAAGTTCAGTGACTCCCCTCAGGTCATCTTTAATAAAATATGAAGTACGTTATGATCCCACAAAGAGAAAACATAATTGAAAAACCTGGCGGATTAGAGCAGTTTTCCAAAGACTGGGTCACGACTCTCAGATATGTTGCAAGAGATTTCTTTTTTTGGGGGGGTCGTCTCGCATCATGTTTCCCAGGAGTTTACGAATAATATCTATTGACTTGGGTTGCGAAGGTTTGTGACTTTTGAAATATGGGTCACCAGGAAAAAAAGTTTGGGAAACACTAGGTTTGAGTGCCATGCTGTGCATTAGCATGTAGTGATTGATGTATTGATAAGTCCTGGTTATAGGTGAGATCTGTTATCATCCAGGTCCTTAAACTTTCTGTTTTCTCATCCAGTTTTTGAATACACTGGACCAGCAGCTACATTAAAAAACCTTAAAGTGAACTGACATGTGTCATGCATATGTATGACCGAAACATCTGTGAGTCTGGGATGAACACACCCAGAGCTGAAGAAGCTGAGATTTTGGATGAACTGGGTTTAAAATAAGAGATGTTTCATGGTTGAAGTGAGAATACGAGATGTTGGATTAACACTGTTCTCATCTCAGTAACACTACTGAGATGAGAACAGTCTAATCAAGTATTTTTACAACTGGTGGATCAAACCAAACAACCAGTTAACGTCTAGTAATTCAATCTGAATGCAGTTTTAAACAAGTTGTGTTTTTTTTACCACTAGCAGCATAACAAACCCATTGACTCAAAATCCTTTCATGATAAGTTTGTATCTGCTGACCTCAAAGAAAAGATCCCTCTTGCTCAATCCAACACCAGTTGTTGCTCCATGAAAACATTTTTTTACCATTTATTTTAACAGATTCCCTCTGTTGTGCTACATGATGTCATTTCTGGCGCAGGGTTCTGCTGTTTTTAGATGCGAGAACGAATACGAGACAGTTTGGTTAATGAGACGCTTCCATTTAAAACAAATCACATTTCACAGCTTAGTTTTGCTCCGTCGCACTCGACGTATACACTTACAGTATCGTTGAAATTAAGTTTAGCCACGAACGCAGCAGAACATTTGATTGTTACAAAGTGGGGGGAAAAATCTGTTTGATCTTCTACCAATGTTTGTACAAAGAACAAACAAATTACGACCATCTGGCAGTGTAAATTATATTAGTTTCTATGGGACATAAGAGGAAAAAACATTTTTATAAACCTTTAAAAAATAGATTTTATTATTCATAAAAGTGAATTTGAACTTCTGAAGAATATGTAAAAATTATATATATAAAATAAAATATAAAAACAGGCTAACATCACTAAGAGTATGCACAGATAAAAGCATTTTTGTGGGATTGAAAAGAACAGATGAAAAATAGGAGCTTCCTAGAGGTAATGATGTGGGAGTCTGACTGGGAAGAGATGATGTCGGGGGTGAGTGGTATACAGGCTGGGTAGTGGGAGTGAATGATGAGACTGAAGTAAATGCTTGACCTGTTGGTTGCGAGCTTCAGACACAAAGCATAAAGCCGGAGTGGTATTCTCCTGTGGAGGGAACTGAGCAGACGTCTCTGGATCAGTGAACTTTCTATTGAATTACCAGCAGATTTGAAGAGTAGAGAGGAAAAACTCGTCGAAAACTGAGTACACAAGGTCACCATAAAAGAGTCAGTTGGTGGGTTTCATCTGTCAAACTGATGTTGTTTCCATAGTTACAATAAATAGTTCAACCAAATTAATGTACATGAAAAATACAATACTTTTCCCTTGTAGCTAAATGTACATACTGCAGCCGTACAGAACAAAAGGTCAAAGATTTCCTACAGTTAATTTGACGATGTTCACGCCCAACCTGAACACACACACACACACACGTGCTTGGTCTGCATGGGCTTAACATATTTCTTTGATTCTCAGCCTGAGAGATTCTGCCCTGAGCCTGAGTTGACAATAACCATCTGTTAACACATAACTTTAGCTCACTCCTTGTAGGTGGGCCTTCAAAAGAGGAATGTGTGATGTGAGTTCTTTAGCCGAGCCAAAGACGTAAAGCGTCCACACGCTGCAGAGTGTAAACATTGGACTGAACCTCCGGCCTGACCTGGGATTAACCTCTGCAGGGTCGACCTCCAGCTGAGGGGTCGGCAGGTCAGCATCATTAAAGAGGAAATCATACAGACGTAGTGGTGTCGGGAATGAACGGAGAAAAGTAACAAAGCACCGGTGGTTCTTTGAGCGAGTCATACCCGCAGGTATTAACGGCCTCTTGTTATGACCTATGATTGTATGTTATGATTGTACATTGACTCGTACAGACTATTGTTATTCATGTTATTTGCTACACAAGATATAAATTAGCACAAGCTTTGGACCGGTGCCATCACTTAAAATTGGAAATTTAAAAGATCTTTAACAGTCCCTGGTTTGCCTTGCGTGCTGTGCACACACCCCCACTGTGAGAGAGGACCACTGCCTTAAGTTAAATCTCATTATAATGTATTATTAATCTTTGGTTAATTGATACTCAGATGTCTTATTAGGTATTTTGAATGATTTATGGTGGATCAAAATATTAAATTTTTGGTTAAAAATTCAAGATTTTAGACATAAAAATACTGATCCCAGTGATTTGTCACGCCTTGAGTTAAATTTAAAAAAATAAATCTGATTATAGTAGTGTTAAATTAAAACAGACAGTCCTCTAAACAAGAATTTTTGTCCAACAAAATCCTTCTTCCTTCACTTAAGAACATACAGTCTATATTTTCGACAACGACATCTTTAATTTTCATAGTTATTACATTCTCAGTTCATAATGTCAGGGTATAATCTGTTGTCAAAGCAAATATGGCAGTTATGATTGCCTAACAATAATATTTCACTATGCTTTAATAAAAATGTTGGCACACTTGGCAGTGCACTTTTATAAGACACAGCTGAGTGGTTATGAAACTATTTTTGAAAATGTGACTCTAATAAAGCCTATCAAGATTTTAAAATAGAGCTGATAAGTATCTGCGAGCACTGCGGGGCTGTCAATAAATCAAAAACAAATGCCTGCAACAGCGTGACGCACCTACACCCACCCACTCGACACGTCTGTATTGTATCAGAACAATGATACTATTTTAAACCCCCGTAGTCACTATCAGAACTCTAAGTCCTATGATGGCGCCGCTTTTCGGTTACCTGCAGTAACACCTTGTGACCGGTAGATGGCAGTAAAAGACGAGGTTTTAAGGAAATTGAACAGAGTAGGAAATAAGGTTTGTGTATTTCTAAGCCTTTTCGCCATCTTGAATTGAAAATTAAACTAATTTATAGTTTTCGTTTGAATCCAATGACCAGAAAAAAATGATCAGGACACATATTTACAGTTAAAAACTCAATACAAAACATGTTGTAGAATGATTTTTTCCCACAATGTGATGTAACAGTTCATCAAAAATATGACATCCTGTCTGTAAACGCTCATGTTCCATTTTCTATTTTAATCATTCACCACAGCTCACATGGCATCACATGAGGATTGTCTCGTCTGTGTTCGTATGAGCGTGTGACAAAAAAAACAAGGCAATAAACGCCCCGTCTGAAGCGACTCGGATCAACCGGCAGTGGTGGGAGCTCTTGGGTGGCATGGCTTTTCAGACCTCAACATCTCAATTTAATCTGCCCTGGCCTGTCTGTGAGCCTGGAGCAGGAGGATCCCCCTTTGAAGTGGGATTAACATGTGTGATTATGGTGAGGTCAGAGGCGGTGGTCCTGGTGTTTGCGGAGAGACAGGTTTGTTTTTTTTTTCTTTTGTCTAACATGTCGGAAAATGTATGAAAAACTGTTGTTTATATTTAAATATTTCTGTAAAAAATCTTAGAAAAACAGGCGAAATAAAGAAGAAAGAAAGAAAGGAAAAGAACAGCCACTCTGTAATTACTACCACCGTGGATTTGAACTGAGAATGACAGATGACCGGCCCGAGAGCCTCATCTGCTATCATGACTAAACTCATCCCACACTGATGTTTTCTAGAATCGGGTGTCACCGGGGGAGGAACATGTGCTGATGAAACATAATCCCTTTTCTCTGGCTTCGATCAATCATCTCTCGGACACTGCGAGGCCTCTGGACGGAGGCAGGTCAGATTAAGTGAAAAAGATCTGCCCCCTTGAAATCACACACAGCCGGGGCCTTGGTAATTCAAGACTAAGGAACAGAGGGCAGTGCTTGGTATCCGGCAGCTCATATAACTAGAAATGTGTGTGATTTATAAAGTGAATTAATGACAGCCACTCACTCGGTGGGAGGGTTGAGGTCTTCAGACTTGGTTTCAAAAAACTTCAGGACTTCCTCACTTTGTGAAATGTTGACAGGAAGCTTGAGCAGGGCCTGCACCAGAGGAGAGAGGCAGAAAAACAACAGGTTCCAATTTTAAGAAATGAAAAGGTGTGTTGTGTGTGGTACAGTTTTTAGTTCAGTTCAGAAGTTTCATTCATTGACATGAGTGGAGGCAGAGAGGGAGCCTCAGAGCTAAGCGCTAAAGCTAACAATGCTCTCCTGTATTCCAGTACAGTCAGAATATAGTTTCATAGACACAACTTCATACTAAATTTTGAATTATTGTCAGCTGGGGTGTTTCCATCTCAGCCGATATTGACAACACACCTGCCCCACATTTTTATTCCACCACCGTCCCCGCTGAACGTAGGGCAGGTCAGGAAGCCGACTGCACTCAACCCTAAACTTTCTGACTGCTGACTCATTCTGACTCTTTGGATGTTGCCATACCCCATTTCCCTCGTTTCCTTTATAGGCTGCCTATTTGCATGGGGTGACAGGAAATGAGCAGCACAGATAGAACAGTCGCTTTCCGGTCGAGGCTGGTGGAGGGGATAGATGTTGAGGCCTGCTCTGGAAAAGCTCCAGCAAAATGCTTCAGGAGGCAGAGCAGGGAGACACAAGAAATAGACAAGAAATAAGCCGGCTTACTTTGCAGTAATTGTCCAGGTGCTTCAGTCTTCTGACAGCCACATCTCTGATGTGACTTCGACGAAACAGGACTTTGCCTGAAAGTAGATAAAGATAAAGTATGCAGTTTTAAAAATGTTGGTCAGGTGTCACCACCTATATTTGTCAGAGGGTCGGAATCTTTCCAGACAGACATTTGTGGGGCTGGACACAAAAATCTATTTGTTTTAAATGGATAGGGATAGGGATTACTGTTGGTTTTTTTCTATTGCTTTAATAGTGAGGACCACATGATATTTTCTCTTTCATCTTCACAATTTTGAAGTCCAGTCATGGGCCAGAGGTGGTATGTCACTTCGGCTGGCCAGATTGGGCCCGCAGGCCACCAGTTGATAATCAATGATGTACTGTCTAAATTCAAACAGTGAACATGAATGTCAGAGGTGGATAGAACTTTTCATGTCTATTATAGGTTGGTTTATTTAGCTAAAATTGCAATAGAAGATGGATCTGCAGGCAGGCTAGAGTAGATCAGAAACACGCTCTCTGATTATAAATCTACGCTCTTTAATGTGAGGTCCGTGTGATGGGACCAAGTATTTCATTGCAGTAAAATCTATAGTGTTTCTTAGAACAGACATAACTTTGTTTGCAACGTATTCTCCTCTAAAAGTCATATATATTAATTAACGTCCATTAACGTGTTCTTTAACGTCCACACAGAGACTGTGGTACGACCACTCCTGACGTTACTGATGTGGAATTTCACTGACGGCAACACATTTTTCCATTGTCCATCTCAGATGACCTTTGACCCAAGGAAAACCACAGGGTTTTTGCAGAAAGCAAATGTACTTCAAGACTTCTGTTTTGCATGCTACTCTCTCAGACGCCACTTTTTCTAGCAACTCTGTTAAAATGCATTTAAAAATTGCACTCTTTTTTTTCTTTCCAAAAAGCCCAATGCCCATGAAAATAATGCGACTTCCAGGCATTTGAAATATTTTTAAAGTGGTATTTTCAGCTGAAAAGTATCAAATCCAGCTTTAACATGACGAATAGTGATTAATCTGTTTTTAAAAAATATATATAAAAACAAACACAGAGCTATAGTAAAAATGTTTTTTACCTTAGCTCTGTATTCATCCTTGAAAAATGTGTATTTTCCCCTGCAGAGTTTCACCTGTTGTTCTCCCTCAGTACATTGTGTGTCATTGTACTGAATGTCATAACACACATATGTACAGCAGTGTATTATACGCATAACTATGTTTAAATGCTGTGTACAGAATACAGACTTGAACAGTACAGTACAGCTTGCGTAACAATGGCTCCCTTCTCCGCTCTCCTCTGCTCAGTGTCTTTACAAGACAAATTCCTCTCTGCTGGCCTCCTACTGACATGGTGGACCACAAATTGATTTGGCCTGGATTTAGCATGGCAGTGAATAAAGCAACACATTGTGGTTGTCCTCGCTATAGAGTGCCTCGGAGGGGTAACAACAGTTTTGGCACTAACTGTCTGAGGGACTTTGCTGCTGCGGTGCATTGTTATTTATTACCTGGCAGAAAAGGAATAATCCTCTTCTTGGGGTCTTTCTGTCCTCCTTCAATTGGGAATTGGTCAAGAATCCGCATCTAGAAACAGGAGGGGGAAAAGTAGAGCATGACAAAAGCAGTTAAATGTCAAATATTTGGAAGCGGTGTGGTGTACGGCAGTGTGAAGAACAGAACTCATTGTTTGTTTTTTCACTGCTTGTTTTTTTTAAGTCGCTACATTATATGTTAATAGCTGCCATTACAGTTATTTGGGACAAGAATAGACGCAATACAATGGCTACAAACGCTCCGGGAAGTCTTGGCCTCCTTGTTGCAGTGCCTGAATTCAACATAGACTGTAATTACATCTGTCCTGAAAAGCTTCTGTGTCATGAAGTGTCTCCAAAAACAACCTCACTTTGATCTCTTCGAGGAGGCAGACACACTCAGGAACAGACACAAGCAGAACCCTTTTTCAGGCCTTTTCCATTCATTAGGGGGCGCCGTAGCAATGTTTAGCAGAATGACAATCTTTCTGAAGATAAGGTCGAATAGGAATGGGACACGCCCTGTCACGTACTTTACAAAAACCCATGACGATGTCACTCGTCCAAAGTGTGGCAAAGACTACGTGAGCGTGTCACAACTCATGTGCGCTCTGTGATAGACGCGACGTATAGACATGCTCGGAAAAGTGAAACATGGAATGCAAATGCGTCGTTAAAAGTGTGTGAGAGTCTGCGCCGCATTACGGAATGGAGGTTCCAGTTTCCTCTTGAAATAAATCACGTCAGCGCTTTAATTGCACATATACTAAGAGCATCCAGCAGTAATGGCACGCTCATAATCCAGACGCAGCGCTGCCTTGTTCCAGATGTGGTCGGCTGAACAGCAAAGACCGTACGCATCAAGTTAAAGCGTAGCGGCCCAAGAGGCGAAGACCGGGAAACTAGAGTCAGCCCAAAGAGAACCAGGTGGACCAACAACATCAGGTTTGGAGGATGAAGTCGGGTCCACTCTGTCTGGACATGTAGGAGTTGTTTGTATAAACCATCAGTAAGAGATGGTTGGGTTTCTCTTCTTGTGGTTCTTCCCTTTTTTATGCACTATTTTGCTGCATTTGCTCCTCATCTATATAAGTTGTAGGCATTCCCCCTCCTCCGAAATAAAGACTACAAAATATGATTTTTTTTCCTACTTGTATTCAGACAACAGATGTTATTATAGTGTTTTAAGGGAAAACAAAATAGGCTGAGTAGAAAGAACAGCTCTGGTTAACCACACCTGCACACAAACACTGTGTTAAGTTCTCTGACCTCACTGTACGCTTAATGGGGTCTTAAGCGAACCCACCACCGAACCAAACCGTTTTACACAAAATCTCAGCTTTTGTTCATCTGACACATGCTTTGAAGATGGATGAGGCTTCTCCTTCTGAGGTAATGGGCGGGTGGAATTTCTGAGAACGCCTTGGCCACTAAAGAAGCGTTACATCCAGTAGTGTTAGTACACGTGTATGAAAACACCCCAGAACTCCACAGCAAAGCAGCGGCCAAAACAAAAAAAATATGATGGGGAAAAAGAAACAGTCACAGTGTATTTCCTTCTGCGTTCCACCTTTAAAAAAAAAAGTCAATAAATTCAGTTGAAACCCGTCCCAGTGAGAAAATGATCAACACTGCAACAGGTGCTGTGATGCAATCACTCTTCTCGGAGAACACGTCACCCACTGGATCACCAAGCATATCTCTATTTTGTCATTCTGACATTGCGCCCATGCATCATGTTGACAGGCGAAAACGCCACATGAGCTCCTGTGGACTCTAATGACAATAATCAGGAGCACTCGGGGATAATTGCACTCGCAGGAGTGTGGAGCGAAGACAAGACAAAGAGACAGCACAGTGTGCAGCAGACAAAGAAGCTGCTGGGAGAGGAATCTCTGACTGGGGGAGTCTGGAAGAATGTTCCAGTGGGAGAACAATCCGACTGCATCACTGGGTGGTGTTTTGACAGCAACATGACAGTTGTTTACTGCAGAGAGATTATGGTGAAAAATCCCTCTCGGAGTCCGATTTCTTTACATTTTATAGTGGATGTCGTTTGAGAGGCAGCGTTGTCCTTGTTATTGACAATGATACAGAGTCTCAAGTTTTCAGTGCAGTGTGAAATAACCTTACATGACATCACCGGCTGTCAATTTGTGAGAGAGAAAATTGTAAAATCCTGTGAAACTTTTGTGTAAAAACTAATGATTGAGGTTATCATCTTGGACATACATTGTGGTATCTGCAACTGACTATAGACATCTGACATTCTTTTTAGTCATGTGATCGCAGCCGTCAATTAAGATGTACATGCTGCAAGATTGTGTGTGATGTTTTTATACTTCAAACTTTTGAAAATTATACTACTAAATTACTAACTTCAGGTGACCCCATTTTAATTCCGAGCAACCTAATGTGGGGTCCCGAACCCTGGGTTGAAAAAACTGGCTTATAGTACGGGAGCAATAAGAAAAAATAATACACTTCATGCTCTGTGTACTTGGTAGTACCATTCTGTTCAGTGGTAATATGCAGACTGGATCTTTAACATTAAATAAAAATGTGTACTTTTATTTTTCCGAAATATGGTACATTGGGTCCCAATGGATATTTTTGCACTGCACGCTTGTTCCTTTGTCTTTAAACAGATTTCAGCTTATATCAGTACTTTGCATATAATTATTAAGTCATTGTTTTTATTACGCTTATTACGCTCGTTTTTGCAGTAAAACCTCACTTTTACAACGTGGGACAGTGGTCAGTATTTTGTGAAGTGTGTGAGGTGAGAACAGGTGAGAGAACATTTACTTTAAGTACTCTGGAAGGAATGCAGGAATTTTCATTGTAATGATGGTTGGTCAAAATTGCAAACTATAGCCTGTCCGATCTGATACCTAAACCCATATGCAACATAGCTTTGCGCGACATGCCGTAAACAGGGACACTATCAGGGGACTTCAGCAGCAACAGCCTGAGGAGAAAAGAAGGTATCTGGTTGATATCTGTATCCAAAAAGTTGTATGGAGCCATCCCTAATACTGCTACACTACCAATATACTCTAATATTAATTTTAGGTCATCTTCGGGCATTCGGGGATAATACTTTTTTAAATCACAGCTTAATAAGGAATGTAGGCCAGACAAATTATAACCCGGACAGGAAATGTGTTTTTTCAACACTCCCAGTCAAACATAATGACTTTTTATTGGGTTTCAGTCCAAGAGAAAACCAGGCCAGGCTGCACAACCCATATTCCCCTGTGTGCAGTGGAGTCAGAGACCTCACTTGCCCCTCTCACGACTGCGAATTGTGTGTCAGACACTGACCAACTCTGCTTACGTCAGGCCTTTGTGGGTCAGAGACATGTCATTCTGAAGCCAGGAACAGGGTTTGGTGGAGGTCAGGCTCAGCAGTATTCAGCCCTGAAAACAAAGGTCGGCTCAGATCTGCACATGCATTTAAAAGAGTCCACCTCACTCAGAGTCAGCAGTTAAAACACAGACAGGGAGGAGAGGAGATACAAAGGAGTATAATTTATGGTAATGGCTTCACGGTGGAGCGGCGGTGAGTTATGTTAAGTGTTTGGGAGATGTTTTAAAAACACTGATGAGTGAACCTCTTGACATCCATCAGGCAATCAATCTGTTCCTTCTTGGTTCTATAAGACAAACTGCAAAACTGCCTCTTATTGACACATACTCGAGGTACTTCTGACTCGGTATGCAGTGCTAAGAGTACAGCGTATGTGGACCCACTTCTCCATAGGCATGTGTTGTTTCGTGACCCTACTTAACTGTTCGTTCTGAATCAACGCTCATCGGATGAGATCATGGTAACACTGGTCAGGCCCAAACTTAGAAAATTAAACGTGCCGCTGTGCTCCGAGGACAAAGGCCTGAAGTGAGATGCCCAGAAAGGCTCAGTTCCTGCCCGAGGAAAACGAAAATAATTTAGTACGGATGTAGAGCAAAGCAAGACGTTTGCATTAGTGCTTAACTTTGCAAAGCGTGGACATACCTGCAGCAACAGCTGCGCTTTTCTGTGTGTTGTGATGAAAACGATCCTCCTTTCAGCCTCTGCCTTCAAGGCTCTAATTCTGCCCATTAACCCAGACCCCCCACCGCCCTTTCCTGGCCGCAACTTCCTCCCGGTTTTCACTGAGTGCGTTCTGGGATTGGTACTTAAATTAACAAGGCTAACATCCTCCTCCTGCATTTATCGTTGGTCATCATCTGTTTGTTTGTTTGCGTGCTGTCTAAACTAGCTCTGAGGAAACATCTCAATGTTTGTGTTCTCCGAGTGAGTGCTCTCAATGTGCTTAGATAACCCACCTTTCACCTATGGGACAGTATTCATGTAAGGAAGGATAGAAACACAGCGGCCCCACCCATTTTGTATAGACAGCTGCAAACTGTTGTCCTTTGTGTGTGTTACCATGGCCTGACAAACACGCCCAGCAGCAGATCTATGGACAAGACCGAGGTTTATAGAGAGAGTGGAGAGAAGCAGTTTCCATCAAACAGAGCAGAGACTTTTCCTGGCTATCACCAAGAGACCAGAAAACAAAGGGTTTCCTCTGCTGTGTTCTGCACAACCAGTCACCCAGAGCCACTGTAAAAAAAAGTGGCCTGGCTTATAGGGGGTTATCAGCCAAGTTAGATACCACAGATACCACCAACAGTGCTGACTAAGGCATGCACTGATTTAAATGTACACATCGTTTGAAGAACCATAAATGTGTGTGTGGTTAGACTGAGTAAGAACAATTGTTAGAAAGTTTTGAAAAAAAAAATCTGAATAATACTAAGATATATCTTTGCATGCTGTACTGTATACTCCATGCTGACTAAGCGGGAATGTTTTACTGCTTCAGCTGACTGGATTTCCCCCTCTGCCCCGCCAGGTTTAGAAATTATGAATAAAACAGAAGTTTAAACAGAGTAGAGTTTAATATAAGAACGGTATTTTTAAGCTTTTATTTTAACGCAAAACCCTGGCCGCCACCCCCGTCTCTGTTTGAAGGAAAGGTCTGCAGTCGTTCTGGTTTGCCTTATACAAACAGCAGCTCTCTTTCTGCGCTCTGCTGTAGATCATTGTTTCCCAAAGACTGGGTTGTGACCCTCAGGTGGGTCGCAAGAAATTTTTTTTTGTAGATCATTGTTTCCCAAAGACTGGGTTGTGACCCTCTGTCTATTGACTCGGGTCGCAAAGGTTTGTGACTTTTAAAATATGGGTGCCCAGAAAGAAAGTGATTGTAGCAGAACTGGTGCATGGGTTGTTTTAACAAATAAAATCTAAAAATCTTCAAGAAAAAACATGTCATACATTTAGGTTTGGTGAGAACATTTGCCTCCTGAATAAAAAAAAAAGGACCTTAGAATAAGTACAGTATCAACCTGATGCAAAGATAGGAGCAAGTACTATATAGCCCAGAGCAACACTTTACTGTAGTGCTGTAAACCTTTAAGAGCTGTGTGATAAAAATTAAAATGATGCCTCATTTTGGGAGATAAATCATCAATATAGAACCAATTATTAATGTGTTCCCTCAAACTTGTTACAACTGCATTCTTTCACCAAGAGCTTTTCTTTTTTTTTAATAATGGCTTATTGTTTAAAGGCTGATTTAAGATAGGAAATCCTACCGACCTCTGAATCCCTTAACTTCTAAACCTTTACTTACGTCTGCTTATTGTTTAAAGGCTGATTTAAGATTTTTTTTAAGACCTCTGAATCCCTTAATTTCTAAACCTTTACTCACGTCAATTTGCTTTGGTGTTCAACTGCTGTAAACAGTATTTCTACTTCAGTGTTTCCATAACTTGCAAAATGTTTTAACATTTAATTTCTTTATTTCATAAAAGGGACAAAAAATATATATGATTCACACCGCAGAACAAATGTGTTTGTGTTGCGTGTGGAACAAACCTGCAGGTCAAAGAATTTGCTGTACCTCCTGTAGATGACGTGAGACGTGGAGTCAGAGTAAGTGACACTGATGAGGTACACCTAGTGAGAGAAGAACAAACAAGACGGGCCCATTAGGAACAATGTGCTTTGTCAAAGGTGACACCGCACCACTCTGGCTTTGCCTACCCTAATGACTCCAAGTGCATTCCTCCTGACTTGACCTTAAAAGGTCAGAAGAGGTCACGCAAACTCATTACGTTCATGGGCTTCGGTCACACTGAAAAGCAGGTTTAATGGATTTCAAGTCAATTATTCATTGAGTTTTGTGGATTTTTTTAAAATGGGATAATTTTAAAACAAGTATAGAATAATAGAGAAGAGGCAATAGAGAAGTTTAATACAAAAACACTGGGAAGTAATCATTCCGTAATATATATTTTACACCTTAGCTCCACCTGATTCATCTGCCTGTAGTGGCAAATGCCTCCCATTATGTCAACAACTCCTAGCATGTCCATCTATCAACAAGAATAATGAAAGAGGGAATTGTTTATCGCAACAGAAGCTGCAGTGGAAACAGGTTTTCCTTGGCTGATAACAGTGAAGAACAGGGCATACAAAAGTATTTTAGAAAACATATTCTCAAAATAAATCCCTCTTATACAACAAAATCTATTGTGCATGCTCGGAGGGTTCACAGCAACTCCATCTCCATGCAGGGAAAATCACCTTTCCCAAAAGCAGTATTTACACACATGGTGTCAATCTGTAAGGACATCAGTTACTCTGCACTCCTACTTCTGGACGCACAGTAACAGTGTGCAATGAAGCAGATCAAGTGCTGCAGCAGTTGGCTAATTAAATGCAGACAGCGCAGCCACACATGAGTGCTGTTGCTCCAACACAGGTTGTTTAAGGTCAGAATGATGACAGCGAAACCCCAAAGCTTGTATTTATGTATAATATGTAGGTGCACAACAATACAGACTCTTCATGCAATTTGGATCGATTGCAACCAAACTCTTTTCTTTACGACATATGTAGGAAAGACTACAGCAGGATTAGGCATTTATTGAAAGAAAAACATCATAATGCTGCCTTCAGGTATCTGCTATGAACAATCACGTTCTAAACCGTACGTACGTACATCATACTTTATAATAGATAGAATTATATGCTTTCAAGTTGTACCGATATAATTTACGCGTGATATGAAGTAATTCATGTGCAATGTTCAGTTCGGTTCAATTATACAGTAAGAGAGACATGATTTGATTGCGGTATTTAGATTAAATCTTGTTGATGTCAAATGAAGATTACAGCAATTAAAAGCAACATAATGACCCTCTTCCCGCAGATTCAATACAAGTAAACACATTCATAAGAGTGTGAGGTCCATCTGCATTTAATTACCATTAGCTGTCAGGCATATTTCCGCCCTAAATATTAAAGTCTGTATCGGATGAGCTTTTTTTAATGCACAGGCTAAAGACATTCAACTGAATTGAACGTCCTTTGACATCAGCTTCCTATGACAATGTATGTAAACAAGAATTAGTTGCCATGCTCTCTATCAGTTCCTGGGAGGAAGTCACACTTTAACAGTGGGAACAAAAGACAAAGAGCTGCTTCTTTCCTTTTCGAAACCGGATAAGCATTTTCAGTTGCTTAGCTCATAGATAATGAGATTTTTTTTTGCCTTCTCCTTCTTCTTCCCATGTGGGGACTTCCCAGTCAACCGTCACCTCCGGTTTCCGTCCCGAGGGAATAACTGTGCCCTGTGTTTAGTGGCCTCTGGAAGCCTCCTTCTGCAGGAGATGGATGATGCAATTGATCCCAACTCTCAGGTTAATTAATTGAATTGTACCTGATGGACTGATTGATTTTTGCAGGACCACTGAGACAAAACAGTCAGGTCACTAAGACTATGCCAAGACCAGACAATGCAGATGAACAACTCAACAGCCATGCTAACAGCACTGATGTGTTTGTTCCCATTGGTGAAGTGACAATACGAAGATAATCCTCAGAGTAATGTGCCATAATCTGAACATTTGAGCATTAAAAACAACTTAAATGTGTTTAGGTCAGGACTAAGATTAGCAGTGAATCAGTGGCAACTGAACAAACGGTACAAACATAAACAAAGAAATTTTAACATGATGTTTCAACCACGCCAAATACTTAAAAATGTAATATGTTGATGCCTTGCAGTAGAAAGAAGTGGTCACTGAAGATAATTGTAAAAATTGAAAATCACCAAAGTGAACAGTGGGCAGCTTTAAGCACCTGGGGAGCAGTGTGTGGGGATGGTACCATGCTCTGTGCACCTCAGTGGTAACTTAGCAGATGGTGGACTCAAACCTGAAACCTTCTGGACACAAGTCTGCTTCCTTAACCACTAATCCACCAGTGCCTGGCAAATAATAGATCATTTTTATGTGAACCTACAAAGGGGTTATAATTTGCAAAAAATATATAACATTTGAAAGTAATAAAGTGATATATATAAAGATAAGGATCTATTGCAGTATTTTTAAGTTGGTCATAGTAAGCTAACAAATGGCCAAAATGGATGGATGGATGGATGGATTTGATGGATTTGACTTAAAGCTGTCCCATAAAAACAGGTCCAAAACCAGATTTCTCTTATATCTGAAATTAAGGCTGGCTCAGTGTCATCAACCAACAGATAAATAATATTTAAAAAATATTTTAACCTACCTAAGATTTTGGTAGGTAATGGTTTAGTCTACTGAAAGCCCTGCAGAGTGAGATCACCTTTCTAAATGACCACAGACAGTAAACTAAGGCAGGAAAAAACACATTTGTTTGTTGGTACAATTTTACAGCTAGACGCTACAAAAAGGCACTTAAATTCCCCAGACTGGTGATTTTTCCTCTCATGACTTTATGAGTGTGAAGCAATTTTAAATGACTAACACTTCAGCACTGACATTGGTTTAAAAAAAGGGAAGAAAAGGAGACTATTGTATTTGTGAAGAAAAGAATTGTAACTTTAAAAGATATTCAAGTTCCTTGCCCACAAGAAGACAGTGGTCGTACTGTACTGACTATTCTTGTACATTGTAAACATAACCATAGTCAGGATTAGATAGTGTTTGGGTTTTGTTTTTTCAACAGCATAATTGTAAGTGTACTAACTGCCGTGTGGTGAGAGCTTTTCTTGTGGTCTTTCGTAACAGTCAGATATTTTAATGTCAACACCAACCATCCACCTTCGCAAAGATGTGAGAAACTGTTTGTCAGACAAAGCCAAACATCCACAAGTCCTGCCCACGGCCAACATTTTAGACATCAGACTTTTACTCCTGTCTTATTCCAAACTACTGGATCTGCTGACACGTGTGTAGGCTGATGGATTGTGTGACAGTGGCTTCAGTAAAGTTCTTAAAAATATTTTTTTTAATTTAATGAGCCACCTAATAGTCATAGAGCACAGTTCACATTTACTGGTAAAGTATTTCACAATAATACTGCATGTGTCAGTGTGTGTGCGGTACAGATGAGTGTCCACATGTACATGTGATGGGAAGGTGCACTCCCGCTAACAAATTAGATAAGTATGACCCTTGCTAATTTTTAAGGAAGTACAACATGGATACCTTCAAACTCAAACATAAAGAACTAAACTGTCGCTTAAATGTCATGAAATAGTTTTTGCTAATTATTATAAGAAGCCTATCAACAAGTTATTAATATATAATCTTTACAGTTTTGACTGTGTCAGTTTCTTTAAATTATTTATAACTGTACGTTTTCTGACACAAGTAGTGGCCCTTAAACCTTAGGAATGGATGTCTCTGTGGATCAATGATGACAGGCAGGCATCATTGGTAGGCAGTAGTGTTTTAATTTGAATGCACTGCTGTAAGGATAATGTGGTGTACAATGGTGTACAATCTTTATTTGTGAAACTCCAAAATACTACTATCTCAGGTGATCCTAGATCTTGCACTTAAGATGACGTCTTACTTAGGGATTCAATGTTAATGTGAATATTGTCACTTTTGGTACAGTATTATCTATGACTTAAACACCAATCATGTTCTCCAGCAGTAGAAGAGTTATGTTTTTCATGAAAACATTTATCATGGCACATGTCCCTAATTTTAATGAACATTCAGCATTTGCCTTACTTTGTTAAATATTGAAAATAATGAAAATGCTAATGTTGCAGATGAGCTTGTGGCTCCCATCATTTCCTTTAAATGCTCAAAAAGCCTATTTGACAATACAATATATTTTCTTAATGTAAGCTCTGGACGTTGGAGCTAAAGCTGCACTTTTGCAACACAGTGACTTAATCCAGCATTTTTGTACAGTCTATGGTCTTTTCCTGCGTCAGGAGGGATGTCGTCATTAAATACTGACGAGATCATGCCCTTTCCAGCTGCTGAGACCACAATGGGCACTCCCGATATTTCCCCAGATACCGTTTTCTGATTGAATTGATTGGGGAAAAAAGATGCAAATGAAAACAACGCATTGATGCCACTGTAGTATTTCGTTGCGATTGTGCAAACCATTAAATAACAAATAAATTGTTTCCGATCGTTTAAAAAACGTGCATAACATAAGGCAATGGATAAACAAAAACAGATACATCCGTACAAAGTATCAATACTTCAGTCTCATTACTCATTAGTACTTCAATCGCTATAATGTAGGTCAGAATGACCGTAACAGCCGCAGCATTACCTACGCCACCACATAACGGTACAGACAGATCCGTTTTTAAAAGTCAAACTTACATAGTGCTTGGATGGATTCCTTCTCTTCTGCACATCCACAACATTCACGTCCAGGACCGTGCGAAGTTGCATCTTCACCTCTAGAAATTTTTCTTCAAGATATTTTTACAATGACTGCAAAAGAAGTGTGTTTTAAGCCATGAAAACGAGTTTGGGCTTCAAAACACCACCAAGGAGCAGCCTTGAGAGGACACTTAGGGGGAAAGTTGGACAGAGTACAGTAGTTCTGGGAGGAGGTGAAATAGGAGATAGGATAACTGCTCTCCTTGCTCAGATTTTGGGTGGACTCACGAAATAATCACATCAGGCGGTCCGAGCGCTTCTGAACTCCCTGAGCACTGTGACAACGCAATAAAACTGACGATTCTTCCCTGGACTACTCCTCCTCCCGGTCATCCTCCTACTATTCCTCCCAAATGTCAACGAACATGAACACGGAGGTTCCGTTTTAGCTGATCTCTGTCGGAAACCACAGCGGGATCTGTAGGAGAACTTTACTTTTTTTCACCTGTCCCTCTATTCTTACCTGTGGATACTATAACAAATACCACTGAAGATAGCTGCGAGTGGAGTTTAACTGCGCGATTATTTTAATGTTTACGGTAATAGGAAAGTCACGTCGGTGATGTTGGGCGTATATTTCAGGCTCAGTAACCTAACATGATTAAGGTTATATTAAGGAGGTTAAGGTTATACTTTTCTGGTTATTAACAATATTATAAGTACTTAATTAAACTTAAATAAATTAGAGAGAAGTTAAAAGTCCCTTCTCTGTCACCGGATCAGACTACTTCCGGTTCGATGTTATTGAATTTAAACAAATTAAAGTTTTAAATAATGAAGACAGAGGTATAGGGCTTACAATAACGTAATAATAATGTAAGTCTTTAAGACTTAGCTGTAACTTACATTAGTAAGGACTTTTAGAAATAGACATTGCAATATTTTAAGGAGTAGCGCCATATATAAAAATATACAAAGTCAAGAAAATATAATCTAAGACTAGAAAGTCTGGCAAGTGTTCTTCTTTTATTCTTTTTTAAAATGACACAAAACATTTAGCAAAATTAATAACTTAAATCGGGAGAAATTGGTAACTTGTGTAGGTAATTATTTTAAGTACCAGACTGGGTGAGTACCTTAAACATTGTAGTAAGAGCACACCCTGCATTAAGGGCGTTAGTTGAAAGAAAGAAATGACAAATAACTGAAACTAATTGATGAGGATTTTATTATACTTTTTACTATTCTATAAACTACATACCAAAACTATATAGAAATGAAAAACAGATTGACTGTTGCATTTGGTTGTTCTTGTAGTATATTCAAACCGTACTGTTTAAACATTTAAACACATTACTGTCTATAAAATAAAATACAAACCTTTCCAACCTTTTCATTATTTTTAAGTAGCTATAGAACTAGTTTTATAAAAAAAAATAAAGTAATCTCAACACTTCCAACAGCACTAATATCGTATGATCATTTGCTAGAGGTCTTTACTGCCTTCTTGTGGTGACTACTGAAGGTGACGTGTGAGAACTACATTAGGTAATTATAAGGGGTTTGTCTTGTTTTCTTTTGCGTAAAGATAAAAAAATTTCTCTTTTACTTTATATTTATATCACACGAGTATAAAGAGTTCAACCATAGTATGATTTAGAAAATACAGCACCACGTCAATTTGTTAATAATTTAGTATGGTTAATCATCAATTATTTCGAAGCCTTTGGTTATATTTTAACGAATACGATCTTTAATAGTCTCAGAGCGAATAAAAACGCATGGTGGCAAAGATCAACTTCTTCGAAAGACACGTCATTAATAGCCACTTTAAAAGAGAGCTCTAGAGAGTTAGAGAGCTTATTTAATCTTTATGAATTACATTTAATACGGTTACATGAATAGCCATAAAAGCAGAACCAATAAAAGGAAAAAATCGTAGTAAGTGGACATTTCGAGTTTAGAGATACCAGTTGTAAAATTTTTAGTTGAGAAAATAATTGTTGAAAACCATAATTTAAGGACGTAAATAGTTTCTGTCTTCCTTTCTTTTTTTTCACAAAGGGATGTTTAAATTTATTTTGTTTTATTTCATTTTTTAAAACAACTCCTCCCCTTTTCTTCCCTGCCAAAATCATGCGTGTTACAGTGAAGGGGCTGGGCCATTGAGCAGAGCACGTCCTGCTGAGGACGACATCCAGGAAACAGAAACCGTTAACCGACTCTGTCAAGCCCGCTTGGGATACGTTAGCTTAAAGCGGAAATATTTTTCTTTTGCTTTCAAAATAAATGCGTCCCAACCCCAACTTCTTTGAAATATGTTTATAATCCACATATATACATCGTGCTTTCGTTTGCATCGTAACAATGTATGTATGAAATATATACCAAAAACTAGCCATTCTGTTAAAATTAAATTTTACAGAAAAAAAATAGCCGTGTGATTTTGTGTGCGTTTACGTTTGAATTTTGAAACGGAACTTCAAATAGTTTATAGACTATCTCGCTTGACACCGCAGCGCTAAGTTCTGTGTTCAATCAACCGAAACATGAGGTATTTTTGGTTGTCTATTTTACCTTCCATAACGATACAATAACACAAGTACTGTGTCGCGTGTGTGATGCTACGAAGGATATTTACCGCGTCGTTTTGTTTTACTCGTTCTGTGACGGCAACACCAGACAAAACTGTTATTCACCACCTCCCCAACACCGTCCCCAGTCAAACACCGCTAGCTACGATGTAAACGCCGCGGACAGAGGAAGTTCGGATTCACATTATAACCTCTTGAGGGCTGTAAATACGTCGTGTCTACCAATATTGGATGCATGAATGGACATTTGTTTTTATGTAATACTGGAACTAACATATCGTTTTGTAGAGTCGTTCTCAATTGTAGCTGCAGCGGAAATAACAGACTACATACGCATCGGCTACGCTCGTTATTTCCTCACAACCGAGGGAAAACATGTCTTTCTTTAATTTCCGGAAGATATTCAAGTTAGGGCCCGACAAGAAGAAGAAACAGTACGAACATGTGCACAGAGACGTCAACCCGGAGGAAATATGGGACATAATTGGAGAGCTTGGAGATGGGGCGTTTGGAAAAGTGTACAAGGTAAAACGCAACAACCGCCTTGATTTCTTTAACCCAAATATCTCGTCATGTTTACACGAAGACATGGATATGGTTAATTTCTTGTGACTCCTGGCTACCACATATTCAGTGTTGTGTCTTATTTCCTTCTAAATGCTTGTTTTTATGGTTAATTTACACACGTTTGATCAAGGTATTGACGTCAACATACACGAGACGATAACGGTCAAATAACAAGTCAAATGATTAAGATAGTATTTTCTGTTTTTATGTCCTCCTTTGGTGGATTACAGTTTTAAGGTTTATCATTTTTCATGTTGTTCTCAACCAAATTTAAAGCGTAGTTATACCTGGGCTGAAAACTCTAGTGGTCAGAAACTGTAAATTACAGTACATTAGCCATAGCTATGTAGTTGCAGAAGTAATACAATTAGTAGCTCTGTTGCTTCCCAGAAGAACAGTCAATTTTTAACCATATTTTAATGTTAGAGAGGGTTAATGCTCACACTAACTAATATATGTCAGGTTTACTTGTTTCCAATTACAAAAAACAACAAAAATGGCAATAGATGAAAAACCTTATTGATTTAAGTAAACCATAGTTTTGCTAGCAGATGGTCATATATGTATCCCAATACCATCTTTAGTTGAGCTATGTTGATCGTGTGCAGTTGACGTGTTCAGTCTTTACTGTCAAAATACTACTGTGTTCCCAAAGGTTATGGAAGCCTACAGTAAATGTATCAGAGCATGCAGTGTTTTTTAAAATGTATCTTGAATAACATCTCACTTTGATATTGTATTATCTGTAGCTGCACTTACAATGTAAGTCCTGATTACATTTGGGGCAATAGTTATTCATGCCCCCTATAAAACACCATAAGGCCTCTTCAATTCTGAAGCCTCTTGACTTTATGTCCACAGTCATTGTGGTTTTCATTGTCCCTCGAAATTTTAGATTTTGGCCAGAAAATCTCATGTTTTTCTCTCAGGGTCTCAAGGATTTCTGGAAGCTTTATTTGTCTAGATCTTTTACTAGATTAAATATATGCAAATCTAAAACTGATAAACATTGGCACCAACACAGTAGCAGTGCCAAGAAAAACAAATTATTCTACTTCTCACATAAATTTAAGTTTAAGGTTTAAGGCGTTTAAGGTTTGGCCTGTAACAGCATCAGCTATAAATATGACTTTGTCGTGTCATTCAGCAGCACCTGACTTCAGTCAAAATGATGAAGGTGTGGTACAAATTCTAATAATAAAATTGGCCTCACTAGAGTGTCAAACTGGGTTTGGTGTTTTGAACGCCCAGGGAGGGACATAAGTGAAAGCCTGTGAGTTGACATATTTGTCTGCCTAGCCATATTGAGGGTTTTTTTTTTTTGATAAAGAAATAACAAGGGCATATTAATACCAAGAATACTTTGAGTGTGTACACTTGGTATCAGAAACAATGGGTCTTCAGAAAGTTGATCATTTGACACTCATATTTTCTAGTTATCCTCCTATACAATGTATATGTGTTTTCTTTGGATTGAGAGTAGCTAAGAGATTAGCATAGTCCAGAGAGAACTGATTAATATCAATTTTCCTTATCTAAAACTCTGTACTCAATGTTGCTGTTTAAAAAAGTTATTTTTCCATTTCATTAGTCCTCTTTACTCTTGGTTTGCCACATGTTATGTTATTGTGACCCTATAAGTTTAGTGTTATTGTCTCACAATGCACAATTAAAAAATATATATTAGTTTGTTTCATACAATATCTAACATTATTTTGGTCAGATATTGTTGTTTTTATGCATTTGTACTTTTGGCAGCAATTTCTAGAAGTTTCAGTTTATTTCCATAGATGGTAAAACATGTTTTTGGTTAAAGAACTCAGGCAGTTCAAAGCAAAGACGTTGCTAATTATTCAGCAACCTTTGTGAAAACTATGACTTTACACATATAACTTAATATTTGTGTCCCTGTGTAAATTCAGTCATGTACAAATGTGAAAGTGTAGTAACTGTAGTAACTATAAATGTTTTATAGCTTTATGAGATAAGCCAAGACAAAGTTCCTCTGTACCCATTCAGCACTTTGTTATTGCAGTATTTTTTTTTAAAAATGTTTTAAGTAGTGTTGTTCTTTGGTCAATTATGATCACATGACATAGCTGAAAGACCTTTCCCTTCAACTGTTTATACATAAGATGTTGAGGAACTACCAACTGCCAGGAGGCTTTTTCTGCAGATTAAAGTTGTGGATTAACTTTAGACCTCATTATGTTCCAACTCAATATCTGTACACACATAGGGAAGTGAATTGTCTTCATCTGGTCCATGTACTGACAACACACTCAGGTCATTTCATCAGATATTTCAGTGGCTTCTAAAGGTTGCCTCATTTGGGTGGAGTGACAAAGACTGCCAGCAAACTGTGAATCATTTGCTGTTCTAAGTGAGTGAAAAAGAAAAGTGCTCAAATCCACTTAGTGTATCGACACCTCTGACAGGGAGGCGTGTCCTTGTAAGATTGTGACGCTTTTCTTAACATAACTCAAATTTCACTGTGTACAGAGGTACAAATACAGCATTTAGTACATTTGATAGTATTCAGTCAATAATTGTTCACAAAATGGGACTCAATTTTTTTTTTATAAATTTGACATTTGAAATTTGTCACCCAGATATTTTCAGGCTCCAATCTGCCAAAGACCCTTTTGGGTTTTAGTCACACACTATTCATAGTAAACCTCACACTTTTCTCTCTGATTGTTTATTTTTCTAACAATAAAAGAAGACCTTGAACTCACAGTTGAGACCAACCAACAGGAACTTTTCTCTCACAGAGTTATTATATACAGACCATGTGACAAATTAAGGATACACTCTTTGGTTTTTTAAACATGATTTTCCAAGTCTTACTGAACCTAACTGCCTAAATTCAGATATCAGCTCTTTGTGGTGTTATAGCTTAGGATGAGTAGATTATTTTTGTGGATTACTATAAGAATTTCTGCTGACCTTTCTTTAAAAACTACACCCTTTTGTAGCATTAAAGTGAAGTGAAGTGCATATTGTTTAAAATTCGGTTAAAAAACGTGAAACAAAGTTCTACTTTTGTAGTGAGTCAGCAGAGTTATTAACGATGCGCTGCTTTAAAAAGACATCGGCAAGCACAAAGTGTGTCGCTTCAAAAGTGTGTAAATATCAATGCGCTCTGCAGCATTTACTGTTGACACACCCTCCAATTACATTTTTTTGTAAGTGTCAGTATTTAAGTGTCAGATTTTGCCCTCCTTTTGAAGAGCTTTGTGTTCTTTTATTACCTTTTATGGTGCAGTATTCTTCATTCTTCAAGTGTTTTACAAGTGTAATGCCCCTTTTTTTAAAAGGTGAATCAGAATATCCATGTTGTTTTCTACTGCAGGTGTATCAGTGTGCACAGAAATGAGCAAGTTTCACAAACACAGTTGCATTTGTAATGATGCTACAGGTTTATGATGTCTATAAAAATATTTTGTTTGAGGAGTATTTGTTTTCTGTATTTATTTGACATAAAATATGACAATGAAAAATATAATCTGGGGTAATTGCTTTTAGGTTTTTCAAATGGCAGGTGTTTTAAATAAACATTAATGTTTGCCATGAATGTTAAATATTCAATGTGTGCAGTCCTTTCACTGTTAAATGTTCTGTGTAAAATGTAATAAATAACATGTGATATGTTTAATGTCTGGTTTCAGGCTCAAAACAAGCAGAATGGGACTCTGGCTGCTGCAAAGGTCATTGACACTAAGACTGAGGATGAACTGGAGGATTACATGGTTGAGATTGACATTCTGGCGTCTTGTGACCACCATCACATTGTCAAACTGCTGGATGCCTTTTATTTTGAAGACAAGCTATGGGTAAGCAATCAAGTGACTGAGTCAACTGACTAGAGACAACAGTGCAAACACTCTTTTGTGTTTCTGTTGATTTTGAGCCAAGACAGGCTCTTACCAAATGCTGCATATTTCCTGTTGCTGAGTTAAAGTGTTTAAAGCCAGCCATGCTTTTGATGGGTTAAAGGTCAGTAAGAGGCCAGGGTGTGAGGCCAACACGAGGTCCGCTGCAGAGTAGTATAAAATATATCATGTATTGTAGTGAATGTATTTGACTAATATTTGACTGTATTTTGAATCCAGAAATTTTATTTTATTTTAATATTGGTTATGAACTGTAAGTATTATTGAATAAATTGGACTAAATCTAGTATTTAGTATATACCTCATCATGAGGAAAAGTAAATATACAACTCACAGTATTTTTTCAGTGTATGGTCAGTACATGTCACCGTGTGCTACTGTACATGAAGCCTTGGGGCAATTAGTGTTTGGTAGAGGGTGTCATGTGACCGTCCCTTGTCGAGTGTCCACAAGTATAAGAAGATAATGGAGTGCCTTTGGTGGCTGGAGAAAGTGCCTGTTAATAATTCAGCAATGTATGCAGGTTGTCTCCCTCATCTCTTAAGCAGCTTAACGAATGTGTAGCAGCTTTGCATGTTTTATGCTTTGAATCAGTGCAGTTTAATCCTTTTTCCCTACCAAAGAAAGAAAATCAATAAATTTTTTTTTTTTTTTTTTACAAGGTTGGTACCTAATGTGAGATTATAAAGCAGGGCATAAAATTGTGCCTGTCATAACAGTAAAAATTTTTTAAACAGATTGTCGTTAAATAATAGCTTATTCAGAAGTAGTGCTTTTATGAAAATGTAAACGAAAGATTTTTCATTTTTTTAGGATGAAGAAGTAGCCCACAAAGGTCCAAAGATTTTTCATTTTTTTAGGATGAAGTAGCCCACAAAGGTCAATTTTAAAATTAGGATTTATTTATTGACATTTATCAAAAAAGTTTTAATACACTTTAAAGAATCAATAATTTGTAAATTATAGATTACCTGAAAATATATTATACAGTATAATGGTATACCTGAAAATATATTATACAGTATAATATATATACAGTATACAGTATAATGGTATATATATAAAATACTTATTCACAGATGTATTGTCACGGATATATTGTGAAGTATTTTACGTAAATATTTGGACAAAATGGGTAGAAATTCAAGTTTGTACAAACTTCCTCTTTTAGATGATATTAAAAATGGTTAAATGGTATATGCTTATATAATACTTTTCTATTCCTCATGACCATTTATACTACATGCCTTTGTACATCCAAAATAATGTTAGATATTATATTCCAGAGATGGAATATAATCTACCATGTCTGGAATTAAACCATCGACCCTGTGGGTGTAAGACGTCTATACATTCTCAAAATGGCTTCACAACATGAATGACATCGAATCAGGATTAAAATATTTATCCTAAGGGTCATGTTGTATTTCTCTACTTTTTTTTTTAGAAAATCTCTGCTTGCTTGCATCATGCTAATGTCTTATATATTTTTTTTATATTTGCAGATACTCATTGAGTTTTGCGCCGGTGGTGCAGTGGATGCCATCATGCTGGGTAAGCCACTGAAGGAATGTTAGGAGTTTCTCTCCACTTCCTTTCTTTGTGCCAACTCTTTTCATTCCCCAAAAACTTAGTGGAATTTTCTTTCCCCCTAATACCAGCAAAGTCTCTTATTGTAAAAATTTACCTGACACATCACATCATTTCTAATACATTTGTTTTACTATATTAAATAGAGTAGAGTGTTTGATGTAGAATATGGGCTTAGTCCAGTGATTCATGCCAGCTGGTGTAAGGGTGGAGAGCTGTCTTCCTGTTGCCATTGGATACTTCCCTGCCATTATATTTAAAGTTGTTCTTTTTTTTTACCAAACCAGTTTGTGTTTGGAATGCGTTTGCAATGCAAAACTACAGATCATAACAACAAATGTGTGCATGTTTACCTGCAGAACTGGAGAGGCCCCTAACTGAGCCTCAGATCCGTGTGGTGTGTAGGCAGACCTTGGAGGCCTTGTCTTACCTCCATGAGAGCAAAGTCATCCACAGAGACTTGAAAGCTGGAAATATTCTCCTTTCCTTGGATGGAGAAGTGAAACTGGGTATGATTTTCTTATCTGTTTCTACTAGCTAACAATATACGTTTTGTTTTTTTCTTATTATTTGAAGGTTTATTTTCAGTGAATAAAAGCTTGTGTAAGCAGATATTAAGATACAAAACATGAACAATGAATGACTCATTACCAGTTTCTCATTTAGCTATTGATTATTTTTCCCATTAACAGATAACTAAGGACAGTTAGTGATCCATAGCTGCTGAGTTTTTCCTTGTGCACTGATTATCAATGAAGCATTATGGCATCGGTGAAGTACACAGAACTTAGCCAACATTTGAAAACATCAAAAGAATAAAGAAGTCATCCATGTGGTATCATGCTTTAAGTTATTACATTAGTCTTAATGAAGTCTCACCACTGCTTTAACAGCCAGAGTTGCTGAATCCTAGACTCGCAGGCAGCTTGTCTTGTCAGAGCCAAACAAACAATAATTATCAAGCGGTCACCAGAGACTTAATGATCTCTTTCTTCTTTCAATGTGTGTTCTGTCAGTGATATTGGGGAAAAAAAGAAATAGAGCAGACAGAAATAGATGCACACGTAACAGAAGTGCTGGCAGTGATGAAGGACGTCTGCCCATAAAGGGAAAGCTATTTAGTCGGGAATGATTTCTGTATTTAAACTGTTACTCTTGTTAAAATGCTTTATGTAGTTGTTGTTCCGCGCTGGATTTTATTGAGTCATTTATCAGTTGGCTTCCCTGATAAAACTAATCCATTAATTTCTACTTTCAGCTGACTTTGGTGTCTCTGCTAAAAATACCAAGACGTTACAGAGAAGAGATTCTTTCATTGGCACTCCATACTGGTGAGTGATCCTGCCCTATACAAGGGTACTCACCCCTGTCCAGATTATAATAGCGTCCCTCATGGTTTTCTTTACTTTGTCTTAATGTTGTCTCTCTAAACACATTTTTGGCAGCCTCAAATGTTGTGTAGGCTTTTCTGGTCCTCCAGACACACATAAATGATTTATGAACTTGCTAAAAAAAAAAAGCTGACATTATATTTCTATTTAGCACATGCGTATTGTTTGTTTTTTTTTCTTAAAACCCACTGATTTGTCCTTTCACAGGATGGCACCTGAGGTAGTAATGTGTGAAACGTCAAAGGACCGTCCGTATGACTATAAAGCTGACATCTGGTCCCTGGGGGTAACCCTGATAGAACTGGCACAAATTGAACCTCCCAACCATGAGATGAATCCCATGAGGGTGCTGCTGAAAATAGCCAAGTCCGAGCCGCCCACACTCATGCAACCCTCACGCTGGTAAGATGATGATAACTGGAGAGGTGGCACAGATTTGCTCCTGCTTTAGAGATAAGATGGTGACTGTTGATATGGGAGGAGGAGTGAATTGAAAATGTCTAGAAGGAACAACTGTATTGAAGACACTGCAGATCAGGTCATGGATACAACACTGGTACACTAGTAACATGCTGATCAGTCCTTTTTGTTTTGTTTTGTTTTGTTATCATCAAGGTCACCAGAATTCAGCGATTTTCTGCGGAAAGCACTTGATAAGAACGTGGACAATCGGTGGGGCTGTGCACAACTCTTACAGGTAAGTTCCTCCCCACAGACTGCTGTCACCTGTCAGTAGATAACCCAAAAGAACAGTCAATAGAATAACCTAAAGACTGCATGTACACAAGAGAAGCGAGCTAACCAAGCGAGAGGCACAGCCCCAGGGTTACATATTTGAAGTTGTCTTCAGTTTGTTTTTTTGCACTACACATATGCTGTCCTGTTATCTCAAAAATGCCTTGAGGCACAAATGTCCACATGGTGTCGGATAAGATTTTGCTGGTGGAAGTTCAAGAGTATTCACTTCACATTGGTCCCATTCTTGTTCACGGCTCCCTGGAATAAGACTTTCACTTACAGAAATTTAACTAAAAGATTTAATGTAAATGTGATGAAACAATCACATAAATGGCATTAGTTCTAGATTAAAAAAAAGTCGTTTGTTGACTGGCATTTCTTTCATCCTCGTAGCACCCCTTTGTCACCAGTGTAACTGACAGCAGACCCCTCAGAGAGCTCATAGCTGAGGCCAAAGCTGAAGTAACGGAGGAGATTGAGGAGAGCAAAGAGGAAGAGGAGGAGGAGGAGCCTGAAACACCTCTGGTATGTTGCTTCATCAGTTTGTCTACTCAAACTGTTATCAATTTTTTTTAATGTAATTTGAGCTCTTTTTGCTATTGTATTCTGTAAGGACATTTTTTCCAAAATTGTCTAAAAAGTCATTTATCATTTGTCTCACAGTGACTTACAAATGTTCCCATTGTTCCCCCAGTAATGTGCATAACAGTTATTCACAAACTTTTATCTTTATATTCCTGTTTTTATGTCCTAAAGAAAATAAACACCTTTTAGAATTAAAATTAGAGTTAATCTAAACTTATATCAGCTTTATTAGCATTAGATACCATGACATCAGGGATGCAGGAATATCTGTGAGATTACAACACATGATTTGGAAATGACAAGTAATGTTTTTGGGTGATTTCTTTTTTTGTTTGTTTTTATTTTGTGGTTAAAATTTGTTCCAGTTAAGCTACCAGTTCTGGTAATGTGAAAAAAAAAAGATATAAAAATAGCTGCGAAGATGTTCTGTATGTTATGTATACTCGTAAAATGACTCACCAACCTCCCACAGTTGTTCAACTTTACTGAGTAAATGTAAGCATTTCACATTACTAATTTTTCATTGTGCTGCACTCAGCCTGTTCCTGGACACAAACGTGGACCATCAGATGTCAGTGTTGCCAGCTCAGAGGATGACAAAGCCCCGCCCACTCCTCCAGCACTGGAGTCTGTTACAGAAAAGACGGAGGCAGAGGCAGCCGAAGACCAGACTAGCGATAAGCTTTCAGATGAAGGACTTGGTACAAGTGAAGTAGACAAGACCGAAGAGGAGAAACTCAATGAAGTGTCTGATGCCAGTAATGAAGATCTGGCCTCTGGTGTAGAAGAGCCTACAAAGAACCATGTAGTCCAGGAACCTGAGGAGATCAAACCAGAGGACGTTCACAGTAGAGAGGTTCCTACTGAGCCAGCTGTAGTATTGCAGCCTAAAGAACCCACAGAAGTCCAGGAACTTGTTCAAGAAACACAAGAGGTTGAAACAATAGATGGACCTGTTCAAGAAGAGGAAGAAGACAAAATAAAGGAAAGTACAGAAGAAACAGAGGAACAACCTATTAATGAGTTAGAAAATGGTGAATCTGTAAGAGAGGAACCTGATGTAGGAATAAGCAAAGAACCAATTGAGGAATCTTCTCAGGGTAAAGTGACAGAGGCCATTGATGTAAATATAGTCACAGAGTTAATAGAGTCAAATGTAAAGGAAGCAGAAACTAAAGAAGAAACAGACACAAAGATATGTGTGGATGAGTCACCCACGGACATTGTGTCAGAAGAGACCAAAGAGAGCAAGCCAGAGAAAAAGCCTGGAGATGAGGCAGTCGAAGATGTGGAACAACCTGAGCAGGAGACTCAGAGTGCAGAGAAGATAGAAGTGGAGAAGGAAGACACAACCACAGTCAGCGATGAAGCCAAAGACACAAGTGAAGATGTGCAACCAGTGGTACCATCTGATGATGTCCAGGTCAAGGAAGATGACAAAGATGTTGCCCGTGCCAATGAGACAATTTCACAGGATGCTGCATCTGTCCCAGAGAGTGGAGCAGACTCTGAAATTAAGGTGGAAACAGGAAGTCCCACCGTGAGTAAGCCAGATATGGAGAAGGACTCTGACTCTGGAAGCAGCTCCACTGTAGAGAGCAACAGCCTGGACCTCAACCTGTCCATCTCCAGCTTCCTGTCCAAGAGCAAGGAAGGGGGTTCAATTTCTATGCAAGTAAGGCAGTGATAACCTATTTCACAACCTCCTCTGCTTAATTGTCAAACAGCCTATTTTACGCCTTTTTCATTGGTTTCAGGAGTCAAGGCGTCAGAAGAAGACGTTGAAGAAAACACGCAAGTTCATGGTTGATGGTGTGGAGGTCAGTGTGACAACATCAAAGATAGTGACGGATAACGACACCAAGAGCGAGGAGATGAGGTTCCTGAGGTATGTCTGTTTTCAGTCTACTCACTGTTCAACGTAAATAGTTTACCAGGTTTCACAGTTCCCTCTGGTTTTAATAAACATCTGTTTAATTTCTGTTGCTGTCATCTCACATTCTGTCTTTTAAAGACATTAGGTCTGTACCAGTTCATAGAAGATAATCAGAAATTCTGTATGGGAGAGTTTTGTTGTTTGTGCCTTACGAGAAAGATATTTAATTCAAAGTGACATCTCTAAAGTGTGACAAACCCTTACTCAAACTATTTTGAAATGGTTTCAAATGGTTTTTGAAATTGAACAGCATAAATATTATCACACGTTGACAGCACTGGGTTTGTGGTTTCCTCAGGCGGCAAGAGTTGAGAGAGCTCCGCCTCCTGCAGAAGGAGGAGCAGAGGGCCCAGCAGCAACTGAGCAACAAGCTTCAGCAGCAACGAGAGCACATCTACCGGCGCTTTGAACAGGAAACTACAGTGAGTCATTTTGTTCATATCACAGCGCAATGACCTTTCATTTCCCTTTTCTTTTTCTTTTTTTTTTTTTAAGGGAACAAGTTGTTTCTGAGTATGAATACCTGTAGCTGTGGGATTTACATCGTTCATCAGTCAGAACATTTAGTTAAGCTGAAATGGGAGTAGTCACAATTAACAGTTTTGACCTGATTAATCATGATTATTCAACATTCCTAAACAAGACTTAAACTAAACTTTTTTCTTTTTGCATATTGCTAGGGCAGAAAGACAAATACCAGCTGGTAGATGTGTGTTTCACACTTTATTTGTAACTAATCAAAATGATGGGAATTATTAATATGGAAAAATTGCAAAGGTATAACTCAGAGTTTAGCTTTATAGAATTATCCATTTTAGTCAATTTATGACCATTTGACATATAGCTTGCCACCTACAGATGTAAACCTGCTCTCAGTGAGTCCTACACTGAGGATTCTATAGCCTATATATGTAATATTATTGATAATCTCACTAGCAGAAATCAATGTTCACTCCAACAAAGACCAGTATTCACCATGTTTTGGTCAATAACTCAAGCACTGATATCCTGACCTCTGTAAATATGTTTCTGTCTGACTTCTTATATAAAAAAATGTCTTTCTCTATCTATACAGGCTAAGAAGCGTCAGTATGATCAAGAAGTTGAAAATCTGGAGAAGAAACAGAAGCAGACCATTGAGCGACTGGAGCAGGATCACACCAGCCGGCTCCGAGATGAGGCCAAGCGCATCAAAGCAGATCAGGACAAGGAGCTTTCCAAATTCCAAAACATGCTAAAGAACCGCAAAAAGGAGGTAAGGTCCAACTTAACCATATCTGTTGGGGGGAAAAAAAGAGCTTTTGCATGTGGTACACACAATGTGTACTATGTGGTGCTATTTCCGTGGAAGTGGGCTGCTTTACTGTGCTGCTTGTTACTTTATATGAGTAAGTGATGGTAACAGTTAAACTGTGCTGTCTGGTTTCTCTCTGCTTTATGCTGCATCTTATTGTCTCTATTATTCATCTTCCCAGAGGCTTCTGGTTGCTATTGTTCTGTTACTTGTTACTTCAAGTACTTAGAGCCTTAACTTAGGGCCAAGTTTAAAACATGTGTGAGCATTTTATAGTGTACGACGTAGGAATTCTTCATCCCTCTGCTTTGCCTCTTTGAGCTTTTAATGATTTCTTGGGATTTTTTTTTTGATTGCTTCATAACAGTGCATTTCTGCAGCTCTGTTGTAGTTGTAGTGCCATTGTGGTCCTCTGTGCTTTAATGTCACTTAGTGCTGAATTTTAAGCTTGTGGTTTCCTTGTTGTTAAGTGTACATAAAATCTTTCTGTATTTAAGGTTAGGTAAATCTGACTGCTAAAGCTTTTATCTGCTGAATAGCCTACTGCCCTGTGATAAATGTCCAGTATATTTGTTCTTCTTGTTTTTCTAAGGCATCAATGCGCTCTTATTGTCAATCTGTAAAGTTATTGTTTTTGTTGACTAACCTTATTTTTTGTGCGAGTGTGTGGGATGACTTTATACATTTGTGTTTTTCCCTCTTGGTGGTAGACTCCTTTGCTGAAATGATTAATGCATCAAAGTGACTGATATGGAATTTAAATCAGGGAAATTATCAGTGATCACATCAAAATAGCTTATTTTTTGTGTATTTGAGTTTTAATCACTAATTGATGATTCTCTTACCAAAAAACAATCAACTAAATTTGCTCTATTTATAAGAACTTAATGATTTGGTCACGCAAAAGTATCTCATTAAAAGTTATCATGATACATGTATATAATTTAGGAAAGAAAAAATATGAAGATATTTATTTTAGTTTTAGCCTTCAACTGTAATTTCGCATTAAATCTTTTAATGTTTTGATTTATAAATTTATAAATGTATTTGTTTCCAACTCAGTTACTCTGCTTTTTAAAATCTCTGTCTCTTGGCTTGTCGTTCACTTTCTCTTGACATTATGATTTCAAATCTACTCACTCTGACTCCTCTGAAATGATCAGGAAAAAACGACTAATCATAGACGGGCTAACTTGTTCAAACATGATCACATTTATTCTCAGAAAACTGGCTTAAATCGGTTGGTGGCTGGATATCAGAATCTCTCCTGGTGAAGTGGGCTGTGCATGCTTTCTACAGCCTTGTTAAATTTCTAAAATACAAATACAGCACCTACCAGTGTCTGCGTACACACTTTAGGTCAAACAGGAAGTTGGACAGTCACCCAAACACATGAGAAAAGAGCTCATGAAACGCTTAAAGGAGGATCTATCGCTCCACAAGACCGCAGAGGTAAACCATCACCTGATCCCTCTTTTTTACAAGGCCTTTGCACACTCACATATTTGTTATTTTCTATGTTTGTAGATTTATTCCCTTAAGGTCATTTTTTAACAAGAAAGGTCTATTTTATCACCCAACCCCAAAACATATTTTAGGTATTTTCCCTTAAAGGGGACATGTTGTATAATTGACTTTTGTCAGGGTTTTGGTACACACATTTATATATATGGAGTGCCAGTTTCAACGGCTATGTTGAAATTTTTATAACCTGTCAAAAATTGGAAATATCTCTAGTTCTATTTAAAAATAAAGCTGAGCCACTGTGTTCAGCAGTGCACCCTCACCCCCCCAGTGATTAGTATATATAAATTTTACTTATAAATTTTAAGTCGAAATTTCACACCTTCAGTCAACCATGGCTTTCTTTGGTTGATTACACCCCTACTAATAATACCCTAACACAATGAAACAGTACAAGTTTCACAAAAATGACTAAAAATGCACTAATTTGCCTTAAAATACCTAGCTATGTCCTTTTTGTGGTTTAAATTCAGAAGAAATATACCATTTTGAAATGTCATCCATTGATCAATAGCAACTTACTTTATTAAAAAGAAAAATAATTAGGTCAAAACAGATTTAATATAAAGCAACATTACTTCAAGTATTTGTTTACTTTTGATTAATTCAGCTGGACAATACTACCAAGTACTGCGCAGCTCTCGATTAGTGGATTTTGAGTCAAATGTCATGGCCTCTGTCTGCAACGACTTTCTGGAGTTGATTAAAGCCCTAGTCTTCATGTACATCTGTTAATAAGATAACAACAGAGATGTACACAACAGCTAATTCTTGGTCACGTCAGACAATACTTACGGTATCTGGTCTGACGGGGAAGCGAGGTTGATAGATTTGGTGGATTTCAAATGCTGTGTCTATTTACAGGTAGCAGAAATGCACGTTCTGAGATTTGCCAATTGTCTGCTTTTCAGTTTTGTGCAATGCATTTCGAATTTGTTTGTTGTACAAAGGCCTTAACCTTTTACCTTTTCTTCTTTTTCTCTCCTTGTCGTATACTGTTCTTTTTTATTTTATTTATGCTTTTGTCATAGCCGCTAAGAATATTTGGCTTAGCCCCAACTACGGAAACAATCCACCTGATTTAACCCATTTATTCTACCACTACCTTCCTTTTCTGAGTGAAGTGGAATATGTAAACCATTCTAGTTTAGATTCCACGGTAGCACAGAATTGATGTTTACATAACGTGTTGGAAACAATTAAGTCACAGGAGCAAAAACAGACACTGTGCCCATAATGATTCATACATGTGTCACGTAGACGACAGCCGTCTTCTTCAGGTGACTGGCTAACAGAAAGCTCTACTGCTAGATTGAATAACCAAAACTGCTGAATTTATGAACTAATCTATATTCCTAACCATAACCAGTAAATGAGCTGCAGTCTATCAGCTCAGTATTCCAAATATGGAAAATTCCATCAACCATGTAGCACAGGAATGCTGTGTGTTTGTGTGTGAGAGAGATTTCCAGCCTGCTGTGTGCTGTCTGTCCCTAATCTGGGTGAGTGCGCTGTATGCTCTCCTCCGCAGGCAGTGGCCCAGGTTATGATACAGTCTTTTCAGTTGTCCTCATGTGCACTCTTCAACGCTCAGATGCAGGATGTAAGTCCCCACCCACCATCCCCACCTCCCCTTCTGCCCTGTTTCTTCTTCTCTGGCCCATACTTAGATGTGCACACAACTATGCGACAGGGCAGTGTGTGATGGTTCAGTTACAGACACGTGTAAGCATGGGCGGTGTGTCATCATCACCACTGTGTTTGTTTATCTGTGGTCCCTCTGATCCTCTCCTGCTCCGTAGTTGATTTTTTTTTTTTTCCGTCACAAGTCCACAAATGCCCTGCATTTATTCTGGACACATATAAGGATGGTAGTTTTTTATTTCCAAAATCTAACTTAACTTAGTATTAATAATAATAATTTTAAAAATAATCTCCCCTCTAAAAAACCTATACTTAGAGTAGTAGAATTTTTTTTTATTACATGCACCATGTTGTGTTTTGTAGAAGTGTAAATCTGCTTTTCAGATGCTTTGCATTACATCGTCTGTCTAGCAGGAGTTTTGCCAACAGCACAACAGTGTAGCACCACCTTCTTGTTTCACTGAAGGGAGGACACTATAAAATATCGTGTAGTGCTCAGGGTGCCCTCTACTGGAAGACACAATGAATTGTCTTTTTTTCCTTTTACTTTAAACGCCAAACAATTTAGCTGTTTCATTTTTTTTCTAATATAAAAATATATGTAATGTAAAAAATCTAATTTTTTTCATTTGCAAAAGTCCAGAGCTAACATGCTAAATTTAATTTGCTAATTTTAAATTAGTCAAATTAATTGGTGATAGCTATCTTAATCACCATCCTACCATATTTCGTTCTACTAGAAATAGCTTTGTTTTTATTGTATCTACAGGGAGGAAATAGCGGTGTTGGTCGCGTGTGTAGGCATGCTGCACATAGCCTTCATTGATGTAAATGTCAGTGTAGATGTTGTTTTACATTGGAGTGTGGTTTTGAACTGAACTGATGACTTTCTCTCTTCACTTTCCATCGTGGACTGTTGCCATCCATGATCTCTGCGTGTCCTCTCCACCGATTCCAGTCGATGACGTGGCTTCTCAGTGCTCTGTGTTGTGTTGAGTTTGAAGTGGATGACTTGATTAGGTTATTCAATGCTGTGTTATCAGCCGCTGTCTCTTTGCTCGCTCTCCCTTCCTCTGTCTCTCTGTGATCCCTGAGGATTTGTCGATGACATTTCTGACTGGAATTCTTCTCTGGCTTCAACAGGAGCAGGAGTTTCTGCAGAAGCAACAACAAGACCTGGATGGAGCTTTAAAGAAAATCATCCAGCAGCACAAACTGGAGATTGCAACTATAGAGAGAGACTGCCTCAACCACAAGCAACAGTTGATGAGAGGTAGGAGCTCAAGGAAAATGGTGTTAGATGGTGTGGTTTCTAATTTTTAAGATAACAACTTAATCAATTCCAGTGGGTAATAATAAGTGTGAACATGAACAGTTACATGGAGAAGAACAAGCTCACAGACACAGACTGTCTATCAGAGCATGTTCCAGCATGTAATCTGTCTGCTTGGATCACATGCACATGTTTGTCTGATGGCTCACAGTCACGAGGCCTCACTGATGTCCTGTTTGTGTAGCTCGAGAAGCAGCCATGTGGGAATTGGAGGAGCGCCACCTGCAGGAAAAGCACCAGCAATTGAAGCAGCAGCTGAAAGACCAGTACTTCCTGCAAAGACACCAGCTGCTGAAGAGACATGAGAAGGTAAGAGCGCAGGAAAGGATGTGTGGTGTTTACCAAGCTTTGACTCTTTTACAACTGCTATGTGTGTGTATGTCATCTGTAGGAGATGGAGCAGATGCAGCGCTACAACCAGAGGCTGATAGAGGAGATGAAAAACAAACAGACTCAGGAAAGAGTCCGTCTGCCTAAGATCCAGCGCAGTGAGGCCAAGACCCGCATGGCCATGTTTAAGAAGAGCCTCCGAATCACTGCTACTGCAGCCGCTACGCCGGAGCAGGAGAGAGAACGCATTAAACAGGTACAGAGAGCAGCACAGCTCAAACTTTAAATGACATCAAACTCATAGATAGATCATGGGTAGGTTACAGTATGTCACCTAAAACATAAAAATGACATCTTGCTGTACGGCAACCTTACCTAAGGAAATGTCAGTATTATATACGAACATGGGCTTGAATGCCATTTATTTAGTGATGATTGAAAGGTAGTTTTCGCAGGTTCATGTCAGTGAAAAAACAGCAGTCATTGTGCTAGTACTAAAAGTAGAAATTTGCATTGATGTACCTTTTGTGCATCGACTGTCTGTACTGGTCTCATGCTGTTCCGTGTGACTTAACAGGAACATAAAACCTCGAGATGTTAAATATTTACAAATATTAGGTCATGATTTCAGTGCTGTTTTGTGTGGCTTCCTTTTATCCAAATATTGTCCAAGCACTTCCTGGTGTTTGTTACATTTGTTTATTCTGTTATGCAAATTTGCTTAGTGGGTGTGACGGTGTGTTTTTCTGTTACCTCATTGAAAGATATCACAAACAGAAGACAGACAAGTGTCTATTAGCTGACACCTTCTGACCTGGGGTTAATCAGGGGGCCGCTTTATTAGTTGTGTTGCCAGTCATTATACATCTGACTGGCAAGCCACTGGGAAGAGTTAGAGTTAGGACAGAGAGGCTTGGTTTTCATGTATTTGTCATTAACTGTGAACTCTCTGTTTCCAACAGTTTGCTTCTCAGGAAGAAAAGAGGCAGAAGACCGAGAGGATGAATCAGCACCAGAAACACGAGAACCAGATGAGAGACCTGCAGCTGCAGTGTGATTCTAACATCAGGGAGCTGCAGCAGCTTCAGGTGAAGCAGCCACACCACCCACACATCCATACAGTCACATTGTTCTGTAAAGAAATCTCTTAGATTGTAAATGGTGTGAGGATGATGCAGGAGAAAAGATGGGGAGGGGGGGGGAGACAATTTAGAAACGATTGTAATGTCTCACAGCATTTTCTTTTTATTGTACAGAATGAAAAGTGCCACCTTCTGATTGAACATGAGACGGAGAAGCTGAAGGAGCTGGACGAGGAGCACAGCCAGGAGATAAAGGAGTGGAGGGAGAAGCTGAGGCCCAGGAAGAAGGTAATAACTTCACTGCACAATTTAACAAAAAAAAGAGAATTATTTTATTATATAATTAAATAATATTTTATTAATTATAATTATTATGTTAACTATAAATTAAAGAAATTTAAGAAATGTTTACAAACTGCTGTTGTTTAGACATAGATTTAATTCACATGTACATAGTAATACATACCTGTATGAATCATCAGGTCCTTTGTTGTCCATTTCTTGTTGTATAATTTTATATTAAATCTTGGCCCTTTGTCTGTGCTTCCCCCTGCAGGCGCTAGAGGAGGAGTTCACGCGGAAGCTTCAGGAGCAGGAGGTTTTCTTCAAGATGAGCGGGGAATCAGAATGCCTTAACCCCACCACCCAGAGCAGAGTGTCCAAATTTTACCCCATACCCAATCTTCACAACGCCGGTTTATAGCCTCTCATCTGTCCGTGCTGCTGAAAATGGTGGTGGAAAAAAATGCACTTTGTGAGCATGTCAACAAATTGAATTGGTAGCGATGGAGGACACTGCTTACCAGACCACCTCCTGTTGCTGTATGAATGATCTCCAGTGCCTCATTTATCCTTTAATTTCATTTTTTTCTCTTGCGTTTTCAGAGCTTCAGATGAAACAGTGCCCCCTAAACTAGTGTTGCACTTATTAGATCATTTAAAGCCCCAAGACATATTACAGAGAATCAAAGTTTTGCATCCGTAATTAGCTGATGATTAACTGCGTCGCCTCAGTGAGAAAAACAAAGTATTGCGATCTCTAAACTGTGAATTCCAAAGAAAAGAAATCTACTTTGTCGTTAACATGTTTGCATTAACACACAGGCAGCAATTGTATAATCGGTGATAAAAATCCACTGACCTGTGTTTTCCTGAGCAGTGCTGAAATGTAAACAGAAGCGATTCTTAAGGCATGTACAGCTGTTCATTTGCACTGTTTTGCAACAAAAGCTGAAGCTCGCAAAAGTTTAGTCAAACGCCGCTTCTAAGAAATCATTTTAGCTTCTCTATGAAAAATTAAGTATTAAATATTTTATGACGTTATAGTTTCTTTACACTGATATTTTAATGCTGATGTCACTTCTTGGCACCAGAATCATAACGTTCCTAATTTGCCACTGCGTATCTTCCGCGCGTTGTAATCACGTCTGCTGAAATCAACATTGATGAGTATCTGTCATGAATGCTGGATTTTTATCAGGGTTATATCGTAGACACTATACGGCCCATAGATTCAAATGGTTGTTTTTTTTTTTAAATATTATTTTTGTTAAGTTACAGCATTTAATGTCTTTACATTTTCATTTTCTAACAGTGAACATTGTTAGCATATGCATTTCTAATGTCCAATTAAATGTATTAATGTCTTCACAAATGTTTTTTTTTCTCATTGTAAATAAAATATTGACTTTACTCTGTTTTTTCATTACAGACAGTGCCCAACTTATGAACACAACAGGTTCCGAGAGGCTGTTCGTACACTGAATTGTCATTATATATACTTAAGCCCAAAATTATTCTTACCCCTGTCAATTACAAAGAATGTATTAATTTTTTCAGTTACATATTAGTATTTCACTTCAGATTTTACTTAAATGTTTACTTAAAGAAAGCCATAACCAATTTATTTAAGATTTAAGAAATTATAAGTCCAGGAACTCTGGACCGTTCCTCCTTTGCAAATGTTTCCAGATCTTTGAAGTTGGAGGGTTTCCGTGCAGTCACCCGTTTCTTGAGCTCCATCCATAGGTTCCCGATGAACTGTGACTTGGCCAGTTCATAACATTAATATCATTGTCCTGGAACATATCATTTCTTTTCCACCTTGGCCGTATGCTTCGGATTATTGTCCTGCTGATAGGTCCAACGCTCTTTCCTCATGATTCCTTCCACTTTAACCAAGTTGCCAGACACATTTGCAGAAACGCACCTACAAATATCAAAGCAGACACTCCAGTGGATACTGCACTAAAATGGCCTCTATGGACATCGGCCAAGAAAGACTCCCCTGCTTCAACCAAAGCTTGTGAAAGCTCATCTGACCTTTGCAAAGACGTACTCAAAGGAAGACGAAAGCTTCTGGTCGTCTGTTCTGCGGTCAGATGAAACAAACATTGAGCTTTTTGGGCACAGAGAGTTGGCTTTCATCTGGCGAAAGAAGGGTGAAGCCTATAAACCAAAATACACAGCCCCTACTGGCTGTCGAATATGGGGGTGGAAGCATCATGCTGTGGGTCTGCATTTCTGCAAATGGGCCGGGCAACTTGGTCAAAGTGGAAGGTATCATGAGAAAAGAGCAGTACATCAAGATTCTTGAAGAAAACCTCAAGCAGGCAGCAGAGAACCTGAACCTGTTGGACCTATCAGCAGGACAATGATCCGAAGCATACGGCAAATGTGGTGAAGAAATGGTTACAGGACGATGATATTAATGTTATGAAGTGGCAAAGTCAGAGTCCTGATTTAAACCCCATCGAAACCTATGGATGGAGCTCAAGAAATCTCCAAGATCTGGAAACATTTGCAAAGGAGGAATGGTCTAGAATTCCTGAGATC